GAGTTTGGTGACCAGGCAAATCGCCTTTATTTGAAATATCAGACAATACCATGAACACGAAGAACACGAAGAGCCCAAAGGTGATTCATAAGTAACAAGACTCGTAAAAAGCCGAGTGAACATGCGCGGCACGCAGGTGAAGGAACTGTTTAAGGCACCAGGGTAAACCTGGTGCCTTAGACCTGGTGAGTTGGTGCCGTAAACCTGGTGAGCTGGTTCCGTAAACCTGGTGAGCTTCTAATCAATGTTAGAAGCTCATTGGTGCGTTAGGTACTGTACCTATTAACGGTCGTGGGGTTTGTTGGTCAGTTCATAGCGCGTAGATGTACTGTCAATGGGGCTGGGACTCGCTCGTGCAAACTTACCCTCCCCCCGTCGCAAACCCTGGCTACGCCCCTGACCCTCACCCCCTCCGCCCGTGTAGCATGGATGACTGCCACTTGTGAACAGGATTATGTAAGCATGTATGTTGCAAAAAGATTATGGTCGGAAAATTTCGCTTGAATCTCGTCTACAAACTGCGCAGAGCGGCATGGATTATGCACGCATTAGTGACTGATTCGGGCTCAAAGATTTCTGCATAAAACGGACGGAATTTTCCTTTTAAACACACGCATACTCATTTCGGCGTGCCGGCGATGTCCAGTCGCATAGAAGGAACTGAACTTGGTCGAAGGCGTGGTTTAACATTGGGCATGAGACTGGCCTTAACTAGATGATCATAATCATAATTATAATCTTGAAAATGATCACATCACATCACCGCAGTCTCCGCATTTATAGTGCTAGTTCAAGAGCAATGGTGCACTCATGTTTTCAGGACAATTGGATCGTTTTTTGAAGAAGTAAAAAATGTCTTTATTGTGTCGTTTCACATTCCTGCAAAAGGCCACCTCACAGGATGGCATCTTGATGCCAACAAACTGCCTTTGATGCCACACACCACTTCAAAATGTTCTCATACGCGACATAACAACTCGCACTGAGGCCACACAATACAGACTTGATGCTACACTGCACGATATCACGATATTACATTTGATACATTACATTGGTATTACACGGCTTTGACGATAATAAACAAGACCAACCACAGCATTTCTGCATGACGATTGCTTTCCGCGTGACGCAGTCGACGTCGCAATGCAACGCCGCGACGCAGGCCATTGCGACTTTGTGACGTCACCGCCTAACGTTAACTAGGCGCCAGCCCGACCAATTTCGCAAGCTGCGATGATGGCCCCTGAACCAGCCCGTTACTTCAGCACCGATTTCTCGTCAGCTAAGTAACTATTCCGCTTTGTTGCCAAGTGCCCGTTCTGGTGATGAGACTCCTGACTTCAGTCGCCTTCCCAGAAACATCGGGACTCTTTCAGCGTCATAGATGGAACAGCGCAGTGGAGCAATGGCTTCATCATTCCGCGAAAGAGTCTTCAGTAAAATGCATATACAGTAAAATCTTCAGTAAAATGCATATACAGACCAAAGGGCTCAGGGCTGGGGCATTAAGGTCATGTAAAGGTTAAGTGTTGTTTACCGACAGCCTTGCTAAGTTATCCAGTGGTGGTCGCTGTGGTTTGGGGAAATGTAAATGACTTGTAATTTGCCGCTGCTATTTGCGAATCTTGGAAGACATAGCTTGTTCGGCTATGACAGCTATGACCCGATCGCTATGACAGCGACAGACAGCCTCTGGCCGACACTTTAGCTTTGTACGCAGTGGCCGTGCCGTAGAATTGCAGAGCAAAATATCGAATATAGACACCAGCTAAATAGGCCGTGCCACTGATGTGCTAAGTTTTGAGCCAACCAACTTAAAAAACAGAGCCAAAAAGCAGGGCGTGCGCGTGCGCGTGCGTGTGCGTGTGCGTGTGTGAGTGTGTGCGTGTACGTGTGCGGGTGGTGCGTGTACATGTGCGTGTGCGTGTGCGTGTGCGTGCGCGTGTGTGCGCGTGCGTGTGTGTGTGTGTGTTGTATGTGTGTGTGTGTGTGTATGGTGTGTGTGTGTTGTGTGTGTTGTGTGTGTGTGTGTGTGTGTGTGTGTGGGTGTTGTGTGTGTGTGTGTGTGTGTTTGTGTGTGTGTGTGTGTGTGTGTGTGTGTTTGTGTGTGTGTGTGTGTGTGTGTGTGTGTGTGTGTGTGTGTGTGTGGTGTGTGTGTGTGTGTGTGTGTGTGTGTGTGGTGTGTGTGTGTTGTGTGGGTGTGTGTGTGTGTGTGTGTGTGTGTGTGTGTGTGTGTGTGTGTGTGGGTGTGTGTGTGTGTGTGTGTGTGTGTGTGTGTGTGTGTGTGTGTGTGTGTGTGTGTGTGTGTGTGTGTGTGTGTGTGTGTGTGTGTGTGTGTGTGTGTGTGTGTGTGTGTGTGTGTGTGTGTGTTGTGTGTGTGTGTGTGTGTGTGTGTGTGTGTGATTCGGGCTTAACGCCGCACTCATCTGCTGAGGCTATATGGCATCGCCCGCCTCTCACCCCGACAGGAAGGGCGGGCAGCGTGGCAATCGAACCACCGATACGGCTGCCTCATTGATCCCCCAGTCTGTTTATCCAAGTGTGCCGACTGCCAGGACATGGACATGGCAAATTCACACCATGAGTCGCGATTATCGATGAAAAGCATTACGATGGATGGGATTTGAGCCCGCGCTCTGCATTCGGCGGGCCCCGACTTGCCTGGCGGCTTGTGTCTTTCACTCTCGCAGTTGTGAATCTCAAATGAGCTCTACAAGACACGGTTTGCTGGAGAAAGTTTATTTCATTACACCGACCTGCAGGGCCCGGGCGTCGCCCACCCAACATGACAATCCACTTGGCGATCCAACATGGCGGTCCCGATCCAACATGGCGTCTCCTCAGGCAGCGTGGTCGCGGTGTGTCGGCGCCGACCGAGGCAGCATCGGTCTCCCCACGACGTTGTTTTCGGATCGACGTCGGTACACTGAGCGCCCTCACATTCTCCTGCGCGGCAACACTCGCCGAAGACGCGACACTGCGTCGTGACGTCACACAACACGACGCGGCCGCAGCGTGACGTCACAGAAAGAGCGGCTCACTCGGCACACCGAAAAGCGATACAGATGCCTTTATGAATGGAGATCATTAACGTATCACTGGAAGATGGAGTGCACATCCGCAGTCGGTAACAAAGTAACGGGGAAGACACGTGGGCACGGCTTGAGAACATCGGGAAAGTGGAGTGATTAGTCGCCTGGTCTCTTGAGTGCAAGACGTCGTGACGTCATCGATTGTCGAGGATACGTTTAACAACATTGGTGACCTTTATGGGTATAACACATGTGACGTATTCAAAACAAATGAAGAGCAGAACTACCAGCTATCAATAAATGCGGACACCTATTCACACGATTGAAATGTACCATCAACCCTGCACGTTGAACTAGATGGAGATGTGAAAAAATGGCATTCAACGTGACATAACTGGATGGCACTTTGCGCATCACCTCGCTCATAAAGGGACCGGCAAAATTTGCAGGCACAAAGGTTCATGGAAGCGTACTTCATTTCCTAATCATTTTATGAACGGCATAAAAACACCCCGCGCCATGACACCTTAGCTGGGATTGAGCCTATAAGCGTCGGTAATTCCCACAGTGCTTAGAAATAGAACATAATAATAGCTGTAGTAAGAGGTTTCCAACCAGAAACAAATCCCAGCACTGGAGACCTTTCCTTCTTTCTGCTTCGGGTGGTACGTGGCTCTCATTATTCTCATGCTAAGCCCTAAATGTGCATATTTATCCCAGGGTAAATATCAAACGGTTGACAAATGAAAATACGATTATAAGAAACAGAAGAATATGCCAAGATTTTTCAATCATTTCGCCCATTTTGTGAGGTTAAGGTGACGCGGGATTTTTAAAGCGACCTCTCAAAATAGTTTTTATTCAAACGGCTGAACATGACGATACTCAATTCCCCCCAATTATAAACGTGTAATTTGTGTGGGCGTTCACCTCTTACACCGCGATAACCTCAACAGGCTGCCGACTTAAAAACAGGTTGCCTATGACAGGACCAATGATCCTTTCAAACATGGCAGCAATTTGGGGATGCAACCTTCAAGTGTGGTTAGTACCACTGGCCGCAGTGTTACGGCGAGGGCAACCAAACGGAACAGTACAGAAGGGACAACCTTTTGTTGCTCTGGACCTGGTTGGGCACAAGTAATTTTTGGATCCTTTTTTCGGCCTCGTTTCGGGACAATCAAGTTAAAAAAATTTCTGGCAGGTGATATCCATTTACCTGTATAAAGTCAAAAACATCCAATTAAGCTCTCATCCTTTTTCTCGCTCTCCTTGTTCTTGTTTCCTAACACAACCAGTTGTTTTTTCAAAGGCCTTCTTCGCAGCGTCTTTTCGCGAGGTACGCAAGATTTTCGCTTGATGCTTTGGTTTTATGCTGAGTGTCTTGGCTTCATCCCCAATATTTTGTTTTCCTGCCGAATGCTTTGGTTTCATGCTTAACGTTTTGTTTTCGTGGCTTGTTTAACGGGCAAACCACGAAAAGAATGAGCACTGTCTTTCAAAGTGAGCTCGGTCTATGCCAGAAAAACAAAACAAGGCCTCATGTGATCACGAGTAAATGGGCAAAACCTGTAAGAGGTGGTGAGAAAATCAGAGAATGCTGGCTTTGCTCCTAAACTAATCACGACGGATCTCTACAAGCCTCTGAGGTAACAAAATGCTTTGACCCTTCCGTGGAAATAATGACTGCTTCCTGCCAGTGCGCTGCACAAGATTCTGCACGTCCACGGACTACGCAAAAAGTTTGAGCTTATCGAGGGGTAATGGTTGGCATGAGCACTATTCGAGCGACTTCTTGAAATCCCTGTCGCCTTGCAAGGCGTCCGCGTTTTGCCAGATATACTGGTCGACGCTAAGGTGCAACGGGCGTGTAACTCACCATAGGCGCGCGCCTCGGCCTGCCGCCCGGTCCGACCGAAGCTGAACCACACAGCGCCAGCTGTTAACGCGATCGGCGCGCCCCAAAACCCAAATCATCATCGCTGGGTCACGCTTCAGACATTCCACTTGCGCGCAGGAAAGCAGGCAACAAACGGGAAAGGAGGTAACAAACAATTCTCCCGTATAGCCCGGCCATGTTTAGCTTGAACGCTCCTAGAGAGGTACAGTCTCTCGCAGGATACAGTACAGTCTCTCGCAGGATACAGTACAGTCTCTCTCGTCGAGGCAGGGTAACTTCTCCCCGCGCAGCGGTAGCCTGTTATGGATATGGGAGCCCAATGATATTCCACAGGTTCTGGTTCAGGTTCAGTCAAGACCCCACCACCGCGATGATAATTTACAGATCCACACCAGGGAGCATGGTGGTAGCCGTGGGTCTAGGCCTACAACTGTCACAATGGTCCACATGGGTAGATAATGATGTATGGGAAGAGTGGCAGTCACCACAGCAACTTCCACCAAAATTAGCATCATTTGTAACATTTTACAACTGTAAGAGATCCTTTGCGGTAGCTTCACCGCTCAAACCGCTCCCTGCATTTTCCGCCGGTCCCTGGGTCCAGACCACAGACTTCAATAATAGCGTGTGGGTCCACGAATGGTCACAACAGCCCGTCGGCCTAAATAAGAGACCTTGACAACGTGCGGATGCGGGTGACAAGCCTGTGAGTTTGGGAACGGTCCATGCACTGGCACAATGAACTGTCGAAGTGGTCTAAAGGCCTGCACCACGATCTTTGATGACGGTTCGCAGGTCCTCGACCACTGAACCCTGCACTGGGTTCGCAGGGCTTTGAACCTCGATGACGATTCACGGGCCCGGACCGTGATATTGGTTCGCAGGTCTGAATCAGATACGGCGAAGGTGAGCGAGAGCATCACAGAACATGTCAGGGCAGAGTCTGGACCTCAAAGGTGCTATCAGCGACCAGCGCGAAGGACACAGTCACCCGTACTTCCACCAAACAGTGAGGGACAAGAAGTGATCGTCCACAACGAATCCAACAACGCAACACGATCCTCACCCGACTCTGTGTTCCACACATGAAAAGGTGGCGCCGCTCAAACGTACAGCCGCGTGCTCGGTGCCGACGCCGCTCACTGCACGCCCGTCCCACGCAGCATCACGGCCGGGCGTCGAAGAAAGCCTCGCTGAGATTGCTGAACGAGTCAGAAGCGCAGTGAGCAAGCCCGTTTGTCGCGACCTCAGCTGTGGATTCCGCCCAGCTGCTGTGGGAGTCGGCCGACGTGTCGTCCAATTCCTTCGCCTCCGCCGGGACCATGGGCTCCTCCTCCCCGCTGACATTTCCGGCCTTACTCAGCTCGTCCCTCCCAACGTCGCCACCCCCGCCGTGCCCACCACGAGCCCCCTCACCGCCTCCCACCGCCGCCGCCGCCGGCGGCGGGGGCCTCAGCAGGAGGCGGACCTGCGCCGCCGGTCGGCATGGATCGGGGCTCGACTCGGGCGTGGCGTACGAGCCGCTGACGTCCGACTCGCGCCGCTGCCAGAGCACCACCGGCCGCTCCCCGGGCGCGCGCGACGAGCGGCGCGTCAGCGACGGGATGGCCAGCAGCCGGAGCGGACCGCCGGCGCCGGCGACGGCGCGCAGCTCCGGAGGCGGCTGCTGCAAGATGGGCGACGCTGCCGAGCCGATCATGGTCGAAGAGGTGCGTTCGAGCCGCGTGCGCTCGGAGGCCACGTGCGAGCGTCGTGACTGGCGACCTGGCGACGGGGCGGGGCGGAGTTCAAGCAGGGGAGTGTGGGGACGGGGGTGGAGTTAGAGCAGGGGAATGAGGGGGCGGGAGCGGAATTAAAACAGGGGGAATGGAAAGCGGCGTTAGAGGTGATGGAGTGGGAGAGTTAGAGCACGGTGAATGGCGGGGGGGGGGGGCGGAGTTAGAGTAGGGAGAGTGGGGGTGGCGTTACAGATGGGGAGTGGAGAGGGTGAAGTTATAGCGGGGGAGTGGGGGATGGAGAAAGAGAAAGGGAGTGGGGGGAGGCGGAGTTAAAGCAGGGGAGTGGGGGGGGGGGGGGGGTGAGTTAGAGCAGGAAGTAGAGCAGGGAACGTGGGGAGGTGGAGTTAGAGCAGGGGGAGTGGGGGCGGCGCTGGCGGTGGGGGAGTGGGGTGGAGCGGGGCTAGAACAGGGGAAGGGGGGCGAGTTAGAGCAGGGAGAGTGTGGGTGCGGGGCGGCGTTAGAGGCGGGGGAATGGGTTGTGACGGAGCTAAAGCAGGGGAGGTGGGGGTGCAGTGGACTTAGAGCAGGGAAATGGGGAACAGAATTAGAGATGGGGAGTGGGAGGGCGGAGTTAGAGCACGTAGAGCGGGACCGGAGTAAAAGTGAGTGGAGAGGGGCAGAACGAGAGGAGAGGGGCAGGAGAAAAGCAAGCAGGCAGGCCATGACATGGGAAAAGCCGACCAGATTATGGCAAGACAGCGGGTCGGGGTCCAGACCAGGCGGCGTCAGGTCGATACAGCGCAACAATGCTAAGTCCATGGGACATGCCAGTCGGGCAAAGATAACGCGGAGTGGGCGGCCAGGACAGGTCAGCGAATGACCGAGAGAGGGAGAGCCAGGGCTGCCGCAGCGGAAAATCAGGGCATGACAGCTGGCATGCCGGAAATCGGCCGGCAATCAGCCAGCAATCAAGGCATGGTGGCAGTGGCTGCCGCAGCGAAGAATCAGGGCAAGAGGAAATGCGAGCGTAGCAGGGTCAGGGCGGGGACGGGCAGGGCCAGAGCACAGTCAGGAGACTCTGAGGAGCCCTCTGACAAAGTCAGGAGACTCTGAGGAGCCCTCTGACAAAGTCAGGACACTCTGAGGAGCCTTCTGACAAAGTCAGGAGTCTCAGACGCAGGCCAGGCAGGGGGAACATTACACCGCAGTACATGAGACCATCACATCTCAGAACATGGAACCAGCACAGCTCAGACTGCAACCATCGACGGAGGTAGAACGGCAGGTAAGACGTTGCAAATCATAACACCATATCACAGCAGATCAAAATAAAACCTCATCGCAGCCCAAAATGCGGTGCAATGGGAATGAAACGTCAGCTCCGACATACAGCAGACGAAGTCCACACACGGGATACAGCAGACCGCGATCCAGGACCTGGACCATTCAGCAGGCCCTAGTCCTGCCTCCCTCTCACAGCCCATGGGGCCTCCCCCTCCCACAGCTTGCAGGTCCTCGCTCTCACGCATCACAGCTCATCGTTCCTCTCTCACGCAGCTCACGGCGCCTCCCTCCCACAGCTCACGGGGCCTCCTCCTCACAACTCACCGGGTCTCCTTCTCACAGCTCAAGGGTCTCCCTCTCACAGCTCACGGGCCTCCTTTTCACACCTCGCGGGGCCTTCCTCTCACACCTCACAGCTCATAAGGCCTTTCTTACACAGTCCACGGCGCCTCCCCTACCCAGCTCACGGGCCTCCTTCTCACAGCTCAAGGGGCCTCCTTCTCACAGCTTACGGGTCTCCCTCTTACAGCTCGGGGGCCTTCTTCTCACAGTTCACAACTCATGGTGGCCCCCCTCACACCGTCCACAGCGCCTCCCTCTCACAGCTCACAGCTCACTGGACCTCCCTCTCACAGCTCACAGCTCACTGGACCTCCCTCTCACAACTCACACCTCGCGGGATCGCCTCGGGATCGGCCCGCCGCAGACGCCAGCGGACGTCGGCCGTATCGGAGGCCATACCTGCGCGGCCCGGCCTCTCCGGGCAAACGCCGCGAATATTAGCGGGGCGATAGCCACCTAGCGCGGGTTATTCGAAGCCTGTTGGCGCGCCGCGACGCCCATATGGCGATCCAGCTACGCGTGGCATGCGGCGATTCGCGGACGTGGGATTGGGTTCGCTGCGATGGAGGGACAGCGGTGGCGCTCCAGAGGAAGACGGAAAGGGACGACGCATTAACTGGTTTGGTGCGCGTGTGCGCGTTTACTGGTTTCGGTGTTTATTTGAGGATCACTAGCGGATAACAGACACTGGGCAGTGTTTGGGCTTATGTGTCATCGCCAAAACTCAATAAAATACAAGTGCGCAAGACTCTTTGCATGGGATGCTTCATCTACTTCCGTTCATTTTAACCACAGAAAAACGTGCAGCCTATTCGAAAAATCGTTTATTCTAAAATCGTATACACCATGCTTTTTTACTTTTAGTTTCGAGATTATTGTATTAATTGATTACATGATTCATGCATTCTTTTATTTGTATCAGATATATTAATATATTTCAAAATATGAATAAACACGGATGTAATGCATTTGTCGGATATAACAGAACGAAAGCTTTCCACACACTATTTGCACGCGCTGGCCTCTTACTTCGGAATCCATTAGTCATATACTGCCGCGGCTCTGTGACGAAGCACTCGAGACTCCTTTTGCTGGCACAGCAGCGGAACAGCTGGCGAAGATAGGCCCGGAACCTGGTGTATGAAATTAACGTCAGTCGGGGATCACGGGTCACGAGATCATTGGGTCAAGGCGTCACTGGTCAGGGGTCACGGGTCACGCGGTCACGGATCACGGGACATGGGATCAATGGGTGACGGGACCACGGGTCACGGAGTCACGGATCACGGGGGCACGGGATCACGGGGTCACGGGCCCCGGTCCACCATGTCCCACCTGGCCGGCAGCCAGGGGCGCATGCCAGACATAGAGCAGCGTGGTCTCGGAAGCCGAGCCTTCCACTAATCTTCCCTGTTTCGTCAGCCGTTGCAAGGCAACGCGTAACAGCCTTCCCGGGAAAACCCTCAGCCAAAATCTACACATCGACCTCGCGTCGACCATCGTCATCGACCTTCGCCTTGGCGCAACTCTAACGCTAGTCGGAAAAGTACGAGCAAAAAGAGATGACCGTTTTGCGTGAGGGTTTGATGTTTTATCAGCTGCTAACGCGTGACGAAAAGTGATTTCAAATACGCGTGTACTCTGGCGACGGCGGGTTCCTACACGCACCTTATATTTTGCGGAGGAGTAACATAATTCCCGCTATTCCTTGAAGCAGATGGCAAGCACGTTTTTAATCATGACCGTGCCATCTCTGAATCAATACGCATATGGACACAGTGAGATGTATGATACTTAACCCAGCAAGTATGTCCACATCCGCCGAGCTCAGTGACGTACAATATGTTCTCAGCCCTCAAGCCGGGGGTCTGTCGATGCTAACTGCACCGCTTTGTTTGCCGAGCGGCAAGACTGTTGAGCCATTATTGTCATTGGTGTGCAACTGCTCGCTTAGCAGTTGCTTCTGCCGAAGCGAAGATGTCAGGTCTGTCAGGATCCGCAAGGGACCCGCTAATTTGGCGCAATGCTGTTCCATAGTCGGCAGGCGATCTTCTCTATACAAAAAATCTCTTGGGCTTAATCGTAGCTGCCTAGATAGCATATCCCAAGTGACATAATGTTGAGCAGAAAGCTTTGGGGATCGTAAAAAGCGTGTGAACATCTCCTGCAAGTGCTAAGCCAAGCTGCTATGCACTACTAAACTACGGAGAAAATTTCCAACAGTTGGTTACCGGAAGGGAGCCTGTGCACAGACTGGAGCGTCACGTGATGGGTGTGGTCGGGTCCGGGTCGGGTCGGGTTCGGGTCGGGTCGTGGGGCCGGGTTGGGTTGAGTCGGATCGGGGGGTCGGATCGGGGATCGGTTCGGGTCGGGTCAGGTCAGGGTCAGGTCCGGGTCAGGTCCGGGTCGGGTCGGGTCGGATCAGGTCCGGGTCAGGTCCGGGTCAGGTCGGGTCGGGTCGGGTCGTGGGGCCGGGTTGGGTCGAGTTGGATCGGGGGGTCGGATCGGGGATCGGTTCGGGTCGGGTCAGGTCCGGGTCAGGTCCGGGTCAGGTCCGGATCAGGTCGGGTCGGGTCGGGTCGTGGGGCTGGGTTGGATCGAGTCGGATCGGAGGGTCGGATCGGGGATCGGTTCGGGTCGGGTCAGGTCCGGGTCAGGTCCGGGTCCGGGTCGGGTTCGGGTCGGGTCGTGGGGCCGGGTTGGGTTGAGTCGGATCGGGGTCGGATCGGGGGGTCGGATCGGGTCGGGTCAGGTCCGGGTCAGGTCCGGGTCAGGTCGGGCCGGGTCGGGTCGTGGGGCCTGGTTGGTCGAGTCGGATCGGGGAATCGAATCGGGGGTTGGATCGGGGCGGGTCAGGTCCGAGTCAGGTCTGGGTCAGGTCCAGGTCAGGTCGGGTCAGGTCCGGGTCAGGTTGGGTCAGGTCGGGTAGCGCGGATCTAATACGGCCCTCGGTCAGTTGAAGAACCACAAGGGCAAGCTCCTGACGCGTGAGTCCACTCGATACGCCTCGTTTGCTCATTGAGGGGCTTTGTAAAAGGTTCAAAATTATATTTCACTTTTAATAGCGAACACCAGCTGGCATTATGCATACTAGCGCAGAAAGGGAGCGAGCAAGATCCACCGGTACAGACAGTTTTGACCGCGTGCGCCGGCGCCATTCGAACGTGTTGCAACATATTACGGCTATCGAGGTCTACGTCACTTTAAAATGACGTTAGCGCATGTGTTGTTTATTCCGCCTCAATTCCACGGGTTACACCGGCGCGGTTTTGCCAACCATTTCGGCTCTGCACCGCATGGGATAGGTTAGAGCTGGGTGTTATCTGGGTCTTAGTTAGATTTGTCTGCGCGCAGAATCACCGGGGGACGAACATGATGTTCAACATTCTTTTGGAAACCGTCAAGGGTATCACTTTCAAAATCGTCGGGGGGGGGGGGGCTCAGCCGAAAATGTTGAGTCCAAAACCTTGTTTCTGCCCGGTTTTCGGCCACTTATATCTGCGTCCTTAGAATTAAGATAATTTTTTGTTTGAGATATTTCGTAACTTAAAAATTGTTTTTGGACTGCCTATTTTAAGTTCATGTGAGCTGGCATTTTGTGAAAAACTTAGAGTGGGGTGTAATTCACCGACAAAATCTTGGTGAATCTCAGAAACCTGATCACTGATGATTACCACGATCACTGATCGTGTTGTGTAACTACCAAAGCAACGAGCATCCGACAAATACACCTGACGCTGTTTGAGTAAACATGCGTTAACTCTTAGTTGGGCCACCCTGTACTTTTAAAAATTGCTGCATACTGAAGTCATTGTTTTGTATCCCAGTACAGGCGTTATCATTTGAAAAAAATGATATTGCCAAACATTTCTAGATTGACTTTCATCTGAAGGGAAAATAATACTAGGTACCTAGAAAAATGAATTTGGTACAAATCGTTATGTTAAAAATAGCGATATACATATTTGCCTACTACCTATCATAACAATAATTAACGTAATTGCTCTGCATTGAGTAGGCCCAGATTTTTTCTCTACGTTCATATGTATTGAGAGGGCTCAGAGGAGTATTCGGGGGTCTCAAGTCAGCATTGGGGGGGGAGGGGGGGAGGGGGGGACAGGGGCTCATGCCACTGGAAGTACACAAAGCGGTGCCTCAGGAAACTGTCGTGTACTCTCAGAAACTCGTCCGTGACACACATTAGGGTATCGCAGGACAATCTCACTGCAAACGGCAATTCATTCTTTCCAAAAAGGATGCATCTCGGCCATTGAGGTGTTGTCATGTACAATTAAGACCAAAATCGCTTAAAACTGGCGAAGACTACATCACATTTTCTAAAGATATAATGACATAAAATAATATAAAAAGCTCTACAGATGCTTTGCTTGAACTGATCGTTTTTATTGCATTGGCTACAGTGTCCTGTCTGGTGACAATGTTTCCACCTTGTGCGGCATGCTGCAGTGGGTTCTGCTCTGCAGGTCCATGCGTAATCCTCCTGCAGCTGTCGGCGCAGCCTCGTGCTTACATCGGAGTCGTCAACAGTAAGTGCTCTGAGGGGTGCGGGAGCGCGAAGGCGCGCAGCTTTAAGGAGAACTCCACGCCCCGATTAAGAGACTCAAGTGGTTCATGAGTGCAGGCGTCGGCTCGAGCACCTTATGGCGTAAGCAAACGAGATGCTTCAGAGCATCAGGTTTTTCCATATAACATGCCCTCCAACAAAAAAAGCTGGAAGAGATAGGTAGTCTGCATGCTCAACTGGTACCTTTGCACGTTATTAGCAACGGCGCCCGCATCCCCTTGCCAATCTGTCGCGGATGTCATATTTTTACTGGAATACAAGCCTTTCAATGAGGCTTTGCTGCATCCTCCTGCCACCTGGACTTCCAAATTGTAAAGATTCGTGTTTCGTTCATACAAATTCTGAACGTGTGTCAAGTGGAAGAAAGCTCATTCAAGTGGCACGACACGTATCGAATGCCGAAGCAGTCTTCATATAGCATGAATTCCAAGTGCCGTGGGAGTGCTCTTATAATCAGTGTTGGTCACAGCCCCATCACAGCAGGCACACATTATTACCAGTCCCAGGAGCATCGCACTGTCCTGTCCGCAGCTTACACCAAGATGGAGAGAACGCTCCACATTTAAAGATACTGATATAAGCGTTGGATATGATGAAATAAGCCCACCTATGACTATTGCTTTACCTACTAAGTGAAAAACTACGCTAGACAGCACATCCTCTGCTTGGTAAGCATGTTCCACAATGCGTCATCGTTTGGTTACGTCATCATACCTTGCGCAACATTGATTGAGAGCCAATTGATGGCCGTTTATTCTGGAAATCGTGCTCAGGAACGCCAGATATGAGTGACTTGACAGTGATATTCATATTGACCTTGGTCGCCACACGGCCAGTGGAATGACAACATTTGAATGACGTTGTTATGGCGTCATGGATATATGGATGACATCGAAAAAGTTTGACATTTTTACAGGCGTATAGCTCAGAAACTATAGGGGTTTAGGTCTTAAAAAGGCCAGAGCTGTAAACTGCACCCAGTGATCTTTAAGGTGACTGTTTTAATTCAAAACTCAATACAAATGTGGAACGCTCCCTTTAAGTTAACCGAAATGATAACGCTGGAAATGAGTAGTTTTCTGTCAGGAGATTGCTGGGGGTCACCGTCAAATCACTGGTGTCTGGAAATTTCTGTTTTCACTTTCGAAATACGAAATCAAGAATCATGCACTCCTGGACTATTGATATTATCTTTTTCTTTAGCGCATGCTATGGTCGCTGGTCGAAACCATGATGTTTCGACATGCGACGTCCGTGGACGTTTCTGAGTGACACGCGAAATGGGCGGCAAACGGTTGGCGCCTTTATCACAGCGCAGAATGTGGACACTATTGACGCGAGTCTTCCACACACTCATTGACCTCTCCGTGATATACAATGCCCATCTCTCAAGAACTGACCTCTTGTTCATCCAGAAGTAGATGAGAGGATTAACCATGGCGTATGACATGGCTAGCCAGTAGAACGCGAGGAACAGGTGCTGAAACACATACGCACAAGTACCGTCACGTTACGTAAACCTCAGCAGCAATCCATGACAGCAGCCAGCGCGCAATTCCGCACTTGAGAGAGGTGCGGCAAAGGCGACAGTGATGAAACGTGCGCTTGCAAGGACCATCATACATCTGGGCGGCTTGCAGCACACCATCTGATCGTGCCACCGCCCGGCGGCACAGCCTAGCTTCCAGGCTGCGCTCGACCGGCCACCGGCCTCAGCTCTGACTCGTAATTGGCTGCGCCCGACGGCACGTGCGTCGTCATCGATTCCTGATTGGCCGCTTCGCTTTTATGCGTGTGTGCTGTGATGCGACTGTTTGTGTTTAGACTGGCATCAGTATTCTCTGTAAGCTCGCCGGCCATGCAATGCTGCTGGTGACGGCGACGTCTCGTTCTAACCGCCGCACCACACAAGTTGTTCTTAAGACAAGACATTTCAAAATAATTTGAAAAGGTATTACATTATTACATGCATTGCATGTTACATGTAACACAAGATACTACTTTTAAAAAAACTTAGGCTGTGTCAAGGTGACATATTTTGTTGACAACGGTTTTCTGGAAATGTGGAAATGCGCGCTACGCTAATGCTCTAAAGTCATGCAAACTTTGTCATGTAATTTCAGACAAAATGCCTTCACGAATCACCAATTTTACAACCCAAGCCTTTAGAAAGCTTTTAAAAGTGATGCTGTGGTTTTCGACACCCTACATTCGACCCAAACTTGACTGACAACCGCCCCGCTGACAACAAAAAACCTCAGCAGCTCACTCTGGGCCAACGAATACTGCCCATGGCCCGTGACTCTACCGAGCCATGTACCGTGCCTGACGGCTCTGAGTATAAGTGGTGTCACCCCCGAACGCTTTTTACGCCGACATAAGCTACCTGCCAGGTCACACTTTCAACGGTGAAGGATACCGATTCAGTAGCGGTAGAACTGAACTGAAGCTATTGCAGGGGCCTTTCAGCAAACAGGGAGACTCGTGGCCTCTTTGATCTCCCGATATTTGACTTCGCAGTGATTACGTTTCCAAAGGCCGGCACACCCACACCTAACAGCCCGAGGGAAGGATGATTAAGGATAAAGCAGCTAGGTCGCGTTCTGCTAGAAAACGAATGCTGCACTGAGCAAGTCTTTACTGACGTCACACCAACAACACTCAGGCCGTCTATTGTAAGGGGGAGGCAAAATGGGTACTAAAGAGGGCCAATGAGAAGCAATGTCGTATAACTGGATGCTGCAAGTGTCGGAAAAATCTTTGGCAACTTGCCAATTACCACAAGGTAGACAGAACAGTAGAAGATGTCGCCCAATTTACCTATCTTCACCTTCAATCGGCTTTGTGCCGCCTCTCCCTACTCAGTCACAAAATCAAGCTCTTAAATGCAGCCGCGAGCTCCAAAAAACACCGCAAAAACCACCGCGTGTGCTAATAAACACATCCGGAGCTGTTGCCGGGGAATACTCGGCCGTTTCATCTACGTCACGTCAGCCCGTGAAACACCGAAGTCAAGAGCACGCCCTCCTCTGTAGCGGGCTGCGGCAAAGCTGGCGTGCATTCTCCGTGGCAACGACCGACTCCCGTTACCAGCCCCGGAGCCGAGCGGCTGCGGACTGGAACGAGCAGCAGGGCGAAGAAATGATCCAATTCGAGCTGGATTTAGGCGCCACCGAGCCGGATATCAAAACGCACAGCCACGCTCAAGTGCGTTGGCGCCCAGCAGCAGTGGTCGAGGCCGGGCGCAATCAACTCGTAGCCTTAATATAACCGACGCTGTGCGAGACGGCACGGGCGGGATCGTCCCTTGTGCCGTACGTCTGGGTCACGTCAGTGGGATGACTCATAAGTGAAAGCTGAAATTTCCAGTCATGGGGTCAAGCACTTTTCTTAAGAATGTTGAGGCAAATCCCAGTAGCTTTTGCCAATTTTAGTGTTAGCTATTGATGAAAAGGAGGAGCCGGCGAATCTAAGTCATCGGCGGTCCCCATGTCAATTCGCCTAAATTTAAATGCCAAAGCACAGTTTCCAGTCATGAAACTGGCTGACAGTTTATTCAATCCATGCATAAGATGCCTGATTTCAGGTGGGAACGTACAGAACTGAGCGAGAGCAGTGCATCTAATATTTTGGTGGGCACCAGTAGGCAGTCCACTACATTCGACGTGAGTTAGAATCATGCATGTCATGATGATACCACATGATGGGGCCTTATCAGGGGGCGAGGAGACCTTTGACGTCGCAGACGTCGTAGAAACTCAAAAGCTTGCGACGTAAAAAACGGACTGCAGAACAGAACGAAAGCCGGACTGACGGTAACGAGAATTTGTAGAAGCTTCGGCTGCACTGAAATTTTTGGAATCAGCGCCAAGATCAGTGGCAGCCATAGCATTCCTGACCAATATTCGTATCGCAAATAGTCGGCGCCAGGTTTCAATGGGAGACACTACATACATAGCACACTATTTTTTATCCGCTCGTGACAGACCTTCGCCGTGAAGGTGTGATAGCAGAGGTACGTACCTGCACGAAGTCAGCCCGCGCAAGGGAGGAGTCATGGTACACGTACACGAAATATGCTTGGTAGGGCAGCCAACACACCGCGAACGTGGTGACCACGATGATGAACATTCTCACAATCTGAAACAGGATTGTCGGCTGAGAGCGTCGGCGCAGATGCGGGAGCGTGATAGTCATCTAGCGAGCATCTTCACCGAGAGGGTCGCTGTTGAGAAAATACACGTGTTTTAGGCTCACATTGCACTGATGTCCTTGGGAATATGCTTGAGTTAGGACACAGTTTGTGTAACAAAATATTTAAACAGGCTTTTTTGAACATTGCATTTCGGCATTATTTATATCCCTTCCTCATACCTTTTCAAATATATGACAAATAGATTTAGACAGTCATAAGGAAAAACCTGAAAAAGTCGCACAGTTTAAAACATCCATCCCCTGAGGCCGCTTTAGTAACAAAGACGACCAGTTTACACTTCGGGCATACAAAGCACAATTTTACACACATATCGTACTCGCCAATTACTCTATAAGTACATATATCATGATGATGTTAGACGTGTTGATGGTACTGATGGTGATTATGATGCTTTTGTTGTTGATGTTCAGCGTTTTCGCTTTTAGCTTAAGTCAACGATATTTTGCATAGAATAAAAACCGATGGAACCATAGGCCCACCCCGCCAAACTCTGCAGCAACATTAATTCTGCCTTATCAGCGAGGGTGACATTCGTGTAGTGACAATTTGACAACACTCCCCTGAAACGCACCATCCGTTTTCGCATGCGCAAATAAGCAGGACATTCAGCGGCAGCTTTTCAAATGCAGACGCTGAAGCGCTTCAGCACTGCACAACTGAGGCGGACTTGGTATAAAGGGGAAATATCTTGGGTTTATTACTCAGAAGTAACAGTATTGGGACTTTCTGGCACCTGGTCTGCACGGCCATATAACGCCCATAACGTTGGGGTTTTTCTCGGCATTATGAGTTGGCAGGGGTTTGCAGCTCTTACACCGACAATAAGTCACTTCAGTGTATGTGAGGTGGCACTGCTTGAGCGATGCTATCAACCAAACATAGGTTCAACCACAAAAATACGCCGTTTCAACCTGCGCTCATCGCCATAAATGATCATGAAACAACACGAAATAAATGCTTCCCAACGAGAGCTGCGAGAAAATCAGAGACCAGCTTATCATTTAGCGAATCGAAAGCACAGATCCTTCAACAGCACTCCTTCATCTCCCAATCATAAGTGGCTATTTGGAAATGGCTATGATGGAATGAAATGAATGAATGAAATGAAAAATGAATGTAATAAAAATGGCAGAAATGACAAAGTTTTGCTACTTTGATTCAGGAAAGTCGCCTTCGAGCAAATTCAAATAGTTTAGTGGACCTTTCGCGTGGAATCCCTAATTACGGAAAGTTTTACCACTAACCGGTCATGGGCTGAATACATACAGATCCATCGCATAAATATTTAAGGATTTTATTGCGAATACCATATTAAAGGTCCTGGTGGCTATCATGACCCGGGTTCACGACGGCAACAGTGTCGAAGAACCCAAAGATAGGATGGCGGGGAAAGCCGGCAGGACGGGCATCGTTCATCGAAAAAGCGTGGAAACAATTACCCTTTCTAGAAAACCAGGCATGGACGCTGGTCCATTTGCACACACCGTGCTCTCCACTCATGACTACCAGTAAACTGTTAAGTGTGTTTACGTAAGTTGTTCAGTGCATTAGCGAGGAACATCATTGACATAAACAGAAGTATTAGCCTCATGGCTCGGATAAAAGCCAGGAGAATGGAAACATAGTTGGTTGATATTTCGGCAACATGTCTTTATCGAAACGATAGCAGAAGTGCTATTGTTTCGATAAAGGCATGTTGCCGAAATATCAACCCAAATATATCTCCATTCTCGTGTTTATTCATCCGGGGAATGAGGCTAGTACTTCTGTCTTATCTATGTCAGGTGTATTTCTCTGAGACTGATTTAGTACTCTCCATATGTGTGACCCTGTTCAGCAAGAGTCAGAAAAGCCGCCGGAAACTACATCGCTGCGAAGGTTGCGGACCAGGGCGAGTATTGCCAAGACCGATTGCACCACAACGTGACAACCTGGCAGGAACTGAAGTTGTCCCAACTTGATTTATTTCCTGCATACCTTTGTGTGGTGATTTTCCGTCCTTACAAAACGAAAGATAATTCTAAAAAAATTCCCCACAAGACTACTTTGAGGTACATTGGAATACAAATTTATTTTGTTTATTACCAATTACATTACATTTATTACCTTGCATTTAATCACAACTTACATTTTTATTACAAATCACATTTTTATCACAACTTACATTTTTATTACAAATTACATTTTTACTACAAATTACAAATTATTTTTTTTAAGCTGCGGTGCCTTTACCGTGAAAGTGTTCGGAGGTACAATGGACATTTGAGATTACCGCAGTCTTCAGTTAAGAAGGGTATGAAAATAGCCAATGGGATGCTTTTTTAGGGAAACAACTGACTTTTGGACTCTCAGACCGGCTTTCAGACCTTGAATTTTTAACCAAACTATTGATAAGCTAAGTACGCACACTGAAAGATTACGTAAGCATGTGAGTAACTGATCGGGAGCAAAATCGCACTGATACGCACTTGTTTGATTATCAGCTCTTGCATACTGAAACAATCAATCGCCCTTGACCGCAACGGTGAACTCCCCTGCATTAGTGCAGTTGCTAGCTAACTAATTTCAGCGGACGGACCGGCGCTCTGTTCGAACTCCGTGACTGGTATCAATGTCCTGCTAGCCGTCTGAGCGTTTGAGCAAGCTCAGTTACAGCGAAAGCGTGCCGATAATAAGGTACTTAGCCAACCAACGTGTCGTTGATCTTAATGCGGTCGACAGTTACGTCATCCCGAGCATGACCGAGCCACAGGCCGGTTTCAAAACCATTTTCATTCCATTTGAAATGTAATGAAACAATAGGTGTAAGTAACAGAGTAGCAGGTGTATGCGCATGAATGTTCAGCGCCACACGCTGTCGCGCACTCTGCTGTGCGAAGGCACCCGCTGCGGCGGTTGCATTAGCATACAGAAACAATGGCCCAAACGGGATTGGAACCCAGGCTCGTTCAGTTACTTAATTGCTTAGTTCGGAGTCCGCAGGGCAAGCTTCTTGGCGAGCACTTCCTTCGGGTTCGAGGTGCCGTGTGCGAATCCTTGCATCTATTGCTGTGTTTTTCTTAAGATAAGGCATTTTATAAACAATCTGAAAATGCAAAGCGTTGCGCGTTGAAACCGAGCACATGCACAGGTGATGCATGAGGCTGACAACGATCTTCTGGAACTGCAGAAGGCCTCTTGGCCGGTTTCCTTATGCTGATGTTGCAACGTTCTCTCCCTCACCTTCCGTTTTGATCTCACAGAAGCCAGCTGACGATCGGTCTGTATGCCGATGCTGCGGCTGCCCCAAAGCTCTCGACCTGTCAAAAAGGGATTTGTCGAGCGCGCCTGGACAGATAAAAGCATATGACGGCTGTTAGCCAGACTTTGTAGCGCGGCAACGGCACCGATAAATCGGAAAACGCACTGATTTCGGGCCATTGGAAAACTCTATGCGTATAGCTGGCACACTTTGTACACATATGTGGAGCTCCACAGCAAAGCCACCAGGGGTCAAACACCTCCAGACCTCATGTTTGTTTACAAAATGAATGACAAACCACAAGCCGGATAATTTGTGCTTTACAGTCAAAGAAAGTTCGGCCGGACGTGATGAAATGTCAGCCTATAGGTAAGTAACCAATGTATCACTTACGCACGAAAATATTTGTACTATAAACTGTAAAACATTTTTAAAAGTCAAGACAAAATTGTAAAAATTGTAAAAATTGTAAAGAGTTGTAGTATGAATTGTAAAAAAATCGCACGTTTCTGAATTCTATGAATGCATAACCCAAATATTGCATACACCATACATCAGCAGCAGTCAAGCGCTGGCGCTGAAAGTGTCACTGATGTAAAATAGGCCTATATAGACATGGCAGCTCATGCAGTAAAACGGAGGATGACTCAGCTGAATCTCAATCCGTCAGGACTCTGTGAGGTCTGTAAAAGCGTGTGTAGAATAAGGTCTGTAAAAGGGCGTGTAAAATGTGGTCTGTAAAAGCATGTGTAATTAAGGTCTGTAAGAACGTGCGTAAAATGACGTCTGTAAAGATGTGTGTCAAATATGATCTGCAACAATTTGATAAGAAGGAGTCTGTAATGGCGTGCGTAAAGTAAGGTCATGAAAAGCGATTTATATCATGCTTGATTGGTCTTGGCTCGGACATTTCATTGACGTTTTTAAGGCAAATGGAGCTGTCAAACATTTAAAAGAAATGCCGCCACGTGAAGACATTTATGTTAGAGCTTTAAACGGTTTGCATTTGCGATCGCTCAACCATTGGTCGACATATGCTCATTCGGCTCATTCGACTCATTTGTCTCACATTGTCATCCTTCGCTTTCATGGGCCGCGTTTCTCAGCATAATCCTGCATCAGATGGTTTCCGGGGTACAGTTTTGTGGAAATAAGCACGGCGCATGCGCAACTTGCGCGCCACGCCCCACTGCAGCCGCTCGTTTCGTTCTGTTCGGCGCACTATCGCACGTGCGCCGTTTCCCGCCACGTACCTCCGCATTTTTGTGGACACCCTCGAAACACTAAGAACATTTTCGTGTCATTTTCGTTACTAGGGCCGAACTTAGCGTGACCTGTAAGCCACATCTTCTCGCTGCGAGGCCAAACCACTGGCCTACGGTAACGCACACAAAAGTCTGCTTGGCGATAATACGGAGAACTAGTGCTGCCACGCGTGCTTAGCCTGTTAGTGACGTGGTTTCAGCCTACATGTTGTCAATTTTCGCGACCCTTGGTGAGACGAATTGATGTCAAATCCCAGCGAGGTCAAATCTTAAAAATGACGTCAAATCAGCCTTGAAACCAGTGAAGCCCAACACTATGCACAAAAGTGGCTGAGATTTGTTAGTGCTGTATCAAGAAGTCATCCACAGTCAAAGCCATACCGTAGCAAACCCTGAAACATTGTCATGATATAAAACAAGCGGGAATGCTGCTGACACATATTTTGCAGTGTGTAATGTGCCAGTTCCATCGTCCATCAAGACAGCAAACGCGAAGCTATTTCGAGTCAAGGTAACGATAGCTCGTGGAATGAGCCCAGGTGGACTCATATTTCCCTTTTGAAGCAAATGGTAGTGTGCCTTGTGTTTCAGCTTTACTCTGCGGACCTGTAGAAATTTGCGCAGGGGCGGCAAAAATGTCTGGAAGCGAAAGCTGAACAGAGCTAGTCTGACCGCCTTTGACCTGAACCAATAAGCCGGCCACAGGAGATATTGCGAAGTTTTCTAATGCTACTGCTTGCTTTAGCAAGTCTAAGGAGGAGCTTAGATCCGCATCTCATGCCAATTAGGCGGTCCAATGTGGCGATAGATCTAGCACCGGCGAAGTTAGTGTTTTTTTAGAGGCACATTCAGCGTATCGAGAACATCAAAGCCTTAGGAAATCCCCTGGTTAATGACGTCCTAGGGGCGTCCCTTGGTCTGGCTCTACTCGCGGCCTGCTGGTGCAGACGCGCGAGCTGCCGCTGCAGGAAGGGGAGAGATTCTCTGCGCAAAAACTGCCGGGTGACTTTTTGCGCGTGCATCGAGCGGGTCTGCCAAAACTCCATATCACCGTGCTTACCGATGATGCAGTATGATACCGCCATAGCTAGCATTGGAAACACGTAGGTGGTGGTGAGAAATACCATGTTGTACCTGCAACACCAGGAAGGATATGCTCAGCAGCAGTATGTAGCTATTTAGAACAGCAAACGGCAGAATCACACGCGATCACAAGCCATGCCGAACCGTCATACACAGGTTCAACACGTCATACACGGGTCAGCACTTCATGCACAGGTGTAACACCTCATACACAGGGTAAACACGTCATACACAGAGTAAACACGTCATACGCAGGGTCAACACGTCATACACAGAGTTAACATGTCATACGTAGGGCAAACACGTCATACACAGGGTTAACATGTCATACGTAGGGTAAACACGTCATACGCAGGGTAAACACATCATGCACAGAGTAAACATGTCATACACAGGGTTAACACTTCATACACGGGGAAAAAACGTTATACACGGGGTTAACACGTTATACACAGGCTGACGTGTTTGCTGACGCTAGCTGTTTTAAGTCTTTTCTTAGCAGCGTTGATATGCAATTAAATGATTCGTTTTATTCAAATACATAGATGTTCATCTTCAAGGCCAATGTCTAAATGCCATCAGTCTGCCTGTGCGCGCTTTGATGTGTATGTGTTTTCCCTCTGACATTCTCAGGGTCCTGCTTTGATGTTTCTTGTTTGACGTTGGAACACCTATTTCACCGAACATCGTCTCAGCGTACAACATATCCAAGAACGCCATTTCGATTGTAACTCCAATAAATTCAGCGCACGTTATACCAAAGCAAATTTTCTCGACGCACATGTCCAAGCTCACTATTTCAAGGTGAATAGTTCCCCTGTAAAGTGACTAGGCAAATAGACTTAGTTCTTTTGTAACATATTCAGAACGCTGCGTCGCATTCTTCTGGCTCATAACGTTTCTTTCATTTCGCCAGCTTTCCATTACGAGGCAATAGTTCTGCAAGGTTTTGGAATTGACACAGGCCCAATGTTAACAGGCAGATGCAAGGGAATGCGGATGACGTAATGGTAATCATTATAATGGCCACAGCTTGGGCCAAAGTATTACAGCAAAAGTGTAAAAAGTAGCACTATCTCAGCTGCTGGGAATGCTTAGTGTTGAAAAGCCGCATTGTAGCATCATAATGCTCTACAACTTGAAGGAAAAAGAACAGTTCATCAGTTCACAGATTTTGGCATGGAAAAACAGAATGGTTTGCTCCAGGTACAAATCTGAACTCATTCCTTACACCAAGCCTTTAAGGGCTATCAGATTAACACGAGCCATACCTAGACCGCGAATGTGGGACTATTCATACCGCTTGCTTCCATTGAAAGGTGCTGGAAATAGTATACGTATGGGAAATGAAATAAAATGTTCGTTCGCCATCCTGCGCCAAACCATGCATTGCGTCAGATGCTGATGCATATGCGTCAGAATCGTCGACCGGCAACGGCGATTAGTGGCCAGGTGGCCGGCCGTTCTTGTCATTTCTGACTTCGTGACATTCCCTCTTTCTACTGAATGTGCTAGAATAGTCCAGCAGAAGAACTGTGTTCGATTTCATAAACTGGAAGGTCTTAGGCCTAAATGATGTTGTAAACGTGCATATTGATTTGTGTCCTGCAATCTGGTTCCCTTAATTAAAAAACTCCGCACAGCGATGAGGCATTCGTTTCAGCGCCGATGGTACTGCCAGCTTCACTCACACGTAGTCTGTGAAGGAGATCATGGGTGGTCCATCATCCCACACGAGAACGCAGCCGTGCCTCACGTTCCCGCCGCTGTACCTGCCGGGCAAGATCGCCGCAGGTCAGGTCAGGTCATGGGTATCCAGGTTAGGACAGATCTGATACCATGTCAGGTCAGGGCAGTAAGAACAACCCCGGCACCAGGTCGGGTCAGGACTGTCAGGGTGAACCTGGCGCCGGGTCAGGGCGAGGCAGACCTGACACCGGGTCAGGTTAGATCACGATTGACGACGCTAGACAAACCAGACCTGTTACCCGTCGGGTCACGTGGTCAGGTCGCATCAGACAAGTACGGGTTAGGCTAGGTTATGATTACATGACCCGGGTTATGCCAAGGACGCTGGATCAGGTCCCCATCCAGACAGGTAAAACCGGGCCATGGAACTTGTTAGGCTAAAAGGGGCCAGGCCGGGGTGGGCTGGAGTGAGATATCGCGGTAAACCTAAACCAAGTCAGTTCATGATCCGCGCCAGGTTAGGCCATACCAACCTTGATCACGACAGGCTCCCATCAAGTACGATCAAATCGGAAAGATCGCCCACCGAATCAGGTTAAATCACGAGTAGTCCTCGAGCAGATCAGGCCAGATCACTGCGACAGCGACAGTGATCATTCGGTGAAGCGATGTCCCGATACACAGCCGCTACCCAGCCGCCGTCAGTCTGGATTAAAAGCCACGATGGGTCCAGAGCGGCAACGACGCTACTGCCTGCCTCCACACCAATATCTGAGCTTCCACGCACGGGAGCACTTCGCACGTTCACCATTCAGCAACATGGATGTGTTATACGAATGGATCGAAACGAGGCGTTGGAAGGACGGGTGGAATATTTGTTTGAACATCGCCTTCCAGTCCTCTCGTACATACAATCACATCAGACTATAGTCAGAACAACCAGCCCATCGGTGACACATGGAGGCTGTGTTTCGCTACGGTAACGTCCTGTTACACATGCGCTGCAGTCTAGTGGCACTAAAACGCACGAACCTTTGAATCAGAGTGTAACTTCATGTGAGCCATGAGCTGGTCGGTGTTACGACCAGCCTTTACAACCTGTTAATTTGAAGCTCGAGGTACATCGCGATCTTCAAGCTTGAACATAAGGGATGCATTGCCAGCCACATGGTCTGTCGACGACTGTCGCTGTTTTGGTCATTGTTGGTCGGGGCGTATCGGTCAGAGGATCCCGTTAATCGCAAATGCGATCCCGGTGCCGAATGCCCTTGTTTTCTATTGGCCGCCGGAGAAATGGCTGAGCCAATGGGGCACCGAAGCTGTTGATAATACTCTGAACGCAAGAGTGCCCCAGCTAAAATACAGTGGTGCTGTGCCAGCTGGGATTTATGTCTTATGTGGAAAGCTAAGCATCTCAAACGGAGTGTCCCACATGTGTATGGGTTTTTGAACTGGAATAGTTATCTTAAAGATCATTCGGTGCAGTTCACAAGCCTGCCCATCTTGAGACCCAAAACCCCCAAGCTTTTGGGCAACGCACCCGCAAAGACGTGCAAACTATTCCGCGCAGACTATTTCGAGGTTTCCCAGTCATCGATGGCGCAAAAATGACGTCATTCACATCCTGCCATTCCCCTGACGGTGCGGCGCTCAGGGTTAATAAAAATATATTTGTCGAGTCGTTGATATCTAGCGTTCATGGGCATGATTTCCAGAAATAAAGGCCACCACTTGGGTCGCAACCCATGGTGTACAAGCTGTGTGAGATTCTAGCATGAATTACGTTTTGTGCTATATAATACAAGAAGTTATACATTTTTCCTAGTTATAACGGGAAAAAGACTTGCAACCGAGCAGCTTAAGAATAACGCAATAACCGTGCATGTGAATGCAAGTAGCCTCCTTAAACTCACGGATAAATACGCAAAAACACCGCGAGAAAAGACGAAAACACGAGAGCCTAACGATATTTGATTCACCACACATCCAGCGCTGCCGCGGGCCACGAGATATTGTTGTCGGGAGAGTGTTGGAGATTGAAAGTCTAAAAGTGAATGTTGTACACGCGCTCCATGGTGCAATAAAACAATAACGCATTGAGCAGCCTATTTGCCTAAAAAATGGGATTTTGTTGTCTGGAACTTTTTTTCCTGCTTGAAATTACACCAATAGCTATCAGTGAGCTTATTTCATAATGTCGGATGTTTGCTTTAATATCTTCGAATGTGGGATATTCCCTTTTAAATGTCAAAAGTTGAGGGGGGAGGGGGGTCGAGACGGGGTCGCCTCAATGGCCAACGTCAACCACAGAGTGGTAAAATTGTACTTTTTGTCGCTGACCGAATTTTTGCAGTCAAAATTATCGCCAGCAGCGTAGAGCGATACCAGATGACATAAAATGGTATGAAGTCCACTTCCAATAGCGTCATCAAGATTCAACCTTTTACCGAGAGCCTCTGTCATCACCACAATTTTCAACATTATGCACGCAACGAAAACGTCCAAGTATACGATGTCATTCAGCTAGTGACAGGATAATTGCTGCTGCTGGGAAAACGGGCGCACCGGCCCTAGTCTATGGACTGGCCCAATCACAACACTTTTCTTCCACCATCAAGATTTTGCTTGGGCCTCAGGTTTAAACTTGATCGACGGCTGGATTTGCTTCTTTGGCCGCAAAAAAACCAAAGACATGCGTAGCCAAGGCAGCTGAGTACCACGTGGCAGAATTTGAACCAGTGGAGTAGTAGTAGAAGTGGTAGTGGTAGTAATAGTAGTAGTAATAGTAGTAGTAGTGGTAGTAATAGTAGTAGTAATAGTAGTAGTAGTAGTAGTGGTAGTAGTAGCAATAGAGGTAGTAGTAGTAGTAGTAGTAGTAGTAGTAGTAGTAGTAGTAGTAGTAGTAGTAGTAGTAGTAGTAGTAGTAGTAGTAGTAGTAGTAGTAGTAGTAGTAGTAGTAGTAGTAGTAGTAGTAGCAGTAGTAGTAGTAGCAGTACTGGAGGATGACGTCCAATATGCGGGCGTCCTCGAGGCCTTCCCCTGATGAAAATCACGGTTGCGCTCCGAGCCCCATTTCACCGTCATGAAACTATCTACCATACCTCGGGCAAGCTACAAGCCTGACGTATGATTTGCGTGGTGGGGTTTTTCGCAGTGCCCCAAAAAAGTAAATTGTGATGTTATTTGTTAGTAGCTTCACATCAGGCTGCTAGTTCTTCCGGAACAACATGCTCGCTCTGACAGGAGGGCGAGGGGGTCGATGCGGCACGCCCCCCCCCCCCTCAAGGTTTTCTGAGGATACCAGTCCAGCATATTGTGCAGTCGCGCTCAAATTTTTGGTAGCCCCTGCGGCATCCATTGCGCGTGTGTGCTTCACAACTAGTATTTATTGTGTGCAGCAATTATGCTAAGGATTTCATCAGGACAATTGTTTCAACTCAACGCTAGCAAAAGTAATAATGATATTGCATCTAGGCAAATGTCTTGCTAAGAAAGGCCAACAAATATGAATGAGCATGAACACAACAGGATGGTTCATTTCCAGAGCTTGCTTGCTGCAGTAAGAGTGTTATTATCAGCAAATGGCCAACATCGTCCTTGCCTGAAAAGCCGCAGTGACGCTTGCAAAGTCGCAGTGTATTGAAAGTCACCACCCATCCCATATCAGTCGCATTGCAACGATTAAAGCATGTTCCTGCTGCCAGAGGAATCACCACATCCAGATCTTTCTCCAGTATTTCATGCCATTAGTTCGGGACACTGAGGGCCGGCTGTTAAAAGCAGCGAATCGGCTGACCGGCAGGACCATAGGAAATGCACCGATTTGTCGCCGACCTGTCACCAAGGCGAACGACCAACCAAAAATCATAGGATATTTTTGTCGCCGGGATGGAATGAAACCAAAAAAGATACCATGGTGTCGTAGGGCTCGGTGAAATTCCTTACGGAAAGGTTTGGTTGTGTTATTTGACGGAACGTGTTACCATGCAGGCACAATATCTATGTATGGAGGCCTCATGCTAGGTTTTGCAGAATGCGCCGTATCATTTATTTTATTTATCATTTATTTATCATATATTTTATCGCTTGGCGCTTCGTGGTGTGAGTTCATATAGATCATTGACGCACAAGCAGCTGCATCGATCAGATATCGTGTATTGATGTTCAGTTGGAGGAGAATCGGGGATACCCTAGCGCCACCGAAAATGCGAGGTAACCACGCGCGCGCGAACCCTTGACTGTGGTGAGGAAAGCGATCACATTTCGTACCAAATTAAAAGTTTCTCTTTACGGCAAAAGACCTAGCTACGTACCACTACCTGTACATGATAAACTTAGCTGCACACACTGAACAATGAGAAAATCTCAGAAATACTTGTTCAACCTACAGGCATGCGTCGGTATTCCGCGCCTTCGTCAAATTGGACAGCTGCGTTCGCCAAAGGCTAATACCGGTGCTGGAAGCGACGCATTTGCTATGCAGATGCCGTGCAGTTTTCATCAGCCAAGCTCGTTCTAAGTCCAAACATGCGAGAATGCTTCAAGCGAGGAATGAACTGCGGTAAGCATCTGTTTACCTAGCAATTGGTCTCTTTCTATTGCCTTTGACAATGTAAATGAAAAGCCTCCACAGTGAGCATGGAATGAAATTAAACTAAACTTGCATGGTTTCGGAACAAAGGGGGTGCACTTGGGTGTGCTCTATGACGTTTATCGTCCAGACTGTAGTCGGTAAGCACAGACTAGTAGGAACGTCCTCAAACTGCCCCATGCGGGCCAAACCCGCATATGAAGTCGGCTCTTCCAGCAATTCCAGGAAAGGTGTGTGGGCATGTTCTCCCCAGCCTTCCTTCGTCCTACTTCACCCTTTGAGTGGTATAGGACAAGATGAAAGAAGGGGACCTACTACGACCTGCTATCTCGCGTCACTGGTTGATCAACACCAGACGTTAGTTTGTCTTCTCCGCTAAGTCGCGTCATTTTCATGACACCGTGCGCATTACCCTTGTTTATCTGATGGCGTTGCTGCGTCTTGTTTGGTTTGTGACCACGCGGCAAAATAGCACCGGATCGAACGGTTTACATCCAAGTGTCCAAGCATTTATATGTCGCAACGTTTAAATAATTGACGTTTTGTTGTTTCCCAGCTGCGACCAATGCGATAAAACCCTGTGCACAAGTAAGCATATAAGCTTCTGGAAAACATGGCGATGGGCCCCGGCTAGTGTTTGAAAAAGTTGAAAAGCTTTCCGTGGTTCTGATAAGGCTGGGTCGGTCAGCGGGCACGCCTTGGACCAGCACCAGCACCAGCACCAGCCACATCACCACCAGCACCAGCCACATGACCTAATGCGCTCACGTTTGTAACGTGGTGTTACATGATCTGCCGAGTGTAACACGGCCACGTGCAGTCTACTGACGTGTGCGACAAATCGGATAACGAGCACTCAACCTGCGAGAGAATCAGAAACCGAGCACTCACACCAGCGAGAAAATCAGATAACGAGCGCTCAACCTGCGAGAGAATCAGAAACCGAACACTCACACCAGCGAGAAAATCAGATGACAAATGCTCGCGCCTGTGAGGTGCCCTTGGGGAGCAAAGTCACGTGCGCAGGAGAATATTGTCCAATTAAGCGAGGCCACGTGTGCCAGACGGACTGGCTGCCAGCACTCACGTGTGCGAGATGACCTGCGAGTAGAGGATGCAGGGCAGAGAAAGCAGAGTGCTGCCGGTCCAGATACCGACAATGCCCACGATGGCTCCACGCTTACTGAGCCGCCGTCGCAGCGGGTGCAGGATGACCAGATACCTGCGGGGAAAACAGAGCGTGTCGGTCTGCCGCAGCACACACGCGAGCGTGCATACACCCCGAGGCGCGGGAGGACCCGAGGTACCTGGCTGCAGAGGTTATCATCCTCCGGCCGCTGACGAATGTCCCGCAGCACATACACACACACACACGCGCGCGCGCACACACGCTCACGGGCACAAAGGGATGCAGGGCGGCAGATGCACACGTGCCTCCTTCGCGTGAAAGGCGGACCCGGCCAGGCGTGGCGGCTGCCTGGCCCAACGCGCAACAGGCATACGGGACTTCAGGAGGACCAAACACGTCTGACACCGCACAAAAACATCTACACTGTTCATCGCTGCTTGCTTGGCGGAGTGCGCTGCTCACCGCTGCTTATGTGATACTGCATACAGCTCACCGCTGATTGAGTGCATCCTCACCGCTAACCCGCACTCAACAACTCCGCACCCAAGTATCCCGGCCCAGCATAAAGCGTAATACATGACCCAATACACGATACACAGTATAACACACGATCCAGTACCCGTCTTAGCACCTGGCCCAATGCACGACCCAACACGACCCCAACACCCGGTCCAACACACGACCCAACAGATGTCCAACACACAACCCCATACCTGCCTCCCTCGAACGCCCCTCCCCCTCCACATACACATGCACGCCGCCCCGGGCTGAGGCCACGCCTCCACGAACAGTTGCCAGGGCTGGTCGAGACGACCCCGCGAAGTGCCCCGAGGCCGGTCAGGATTATTCGGTGCAGACGCTGGAGCAGTCAGCGAATCAATGCTCGGGGGAGCGACAAGCGCTTTCATGGCGGCTCAGAGCAAGCGGCCGCCGGTGAAGTTGGCAGGCTTCCGGCAGTCCTGCCGCCGGGGAACGTGGAGCCATGGGAAGTTCGGGGATGGGCAGGGGAAGTTCGGGGAAGCGCTGATGGGCGGCACTTTGTCGGCCCTCCTCGTGGGCCGGCGGACACAGGGGAGGATCGACAGGACGTGTCTGAGCCATGTTTGCCTGGATGTCGCACACGTGTTCCCGGGTCGAGGACTCGGGTCAAGTCGTGGCAGGTTTTATCGGGCTCGAGGTCCACTCTGGGTGCAGGCTCATCTTTGGGACTGATATGGTCTGACCTGATCTGATCTAAGCCTGATCTGAACCGGATCTGATCTGACTGACCTGAATGACCTGAAACTGATCTGATCTGACCCTGCGCGATGCTGGACGTTACTACCTAAGCCCGAGCGATCCTGAACTGAACTGATCCGCACTGATCGGAGCTGAATCTGAACTGATCTGAGCCTGTGTGACACTGAACGTTTTAAGCGATTATACCTGATATGAGCCCCTGCTCGATCTGAACCTGTTCTGCTATAATCACTGATCGAATCTGATCTGATCCTGATCTGAATCCGATCTGAACCTGATTCGATCTGATCTTATCTAACCTGATCTTATTTAGCCCGATCTTATCTAACCTGATCACCTAAACTGACCTTATCTAGCCTGAATTGATCTAACCTGATCAGATCGGAATCTCATCTGATTAGACCTCATCTGATCTGATCTGATTTAACCTGATCTGAATCTGGTCTACCTGGCAGGCCGGCAGACACAGGCGCGGATCGACAGGGGACTGTAGGCACATGTGAGCCACGTTGACCTGGATGTCACACCGTGTCCCGGAAAAGGGCGGAATAGGGCCCCGGGCCAGGTCGCGGAAGGCTCTTGTTGGACCCGAGGCTCACTCTGGGTGCAGGCTCATCTCTGAAACTGGCCACGTCTACCAGATCAGGAAACCCTTCGTCCCGCCATCAGTCGGGGTGGGGAGGGGAGACGGGAGGGGGGGGGGGGGAGTGCTGCCGTCCCACCCTTACCTGGAAAGGTTAAATGATAAGGTTAACCATACCGCATCTCGAGCAAGAAAGCTGCCTGAACACGTGCTTGCCCACTTGTTGCCTGGCTGTCATTCTCCTGGTTTTTCTCCGAGGAATAAGGCTAATACTACTATCTGCGCGCGGATAGTAGTATTAGCGCGCGGCGGGCACAATTTTTCTGTTCAATGTTCAGCCTGGTCCCGTCATTGCGGACCCCGCGCACGCCCCTGACGCCAGTGCGAAGTGCGCAGCAGCGACGTCATCGCAGCATCTGCCTGCGGGCCCGCAGCAGCTGCTGCCGGCGGTCGCCCAGCCGTATTACCGTCGCTGTCCGTGGCGATGTGTCGCGAGCGTGTTCAGCCTTCAAAGGAGCCGCGCCGACCGCCGCCCTCCCTCGGGCGCCGCCGGCAGGTCACGTGGTGAGGAAGTAGCCGGCAGGAGCGCCGGGCGGCCGAGGTCGGCTCCAACATGAGGCGGGGCAGGTGTGAAATTCCGATGAGAAGAATCCGGCGTAATGGCATGCGCTGGAATGCCCATAGAATGTCGCCGGGCGGGCTTCCTTCGCCACCGGGGTCAAAGGTCATTTTGCCTTGCAGGCTTACGAGCAAGCGTCGATATTGGTTCTTCGGACCATGCTCATGGGTGCAATTGTGAACTTCCTTCACAAAGCCGACGACGTTACAGCAACTGAACTGCAGTTGCTTTTGCTACCCATTGATTTTGTGACCTTTCTTCCATCGCCCGTAAGGCTGCAAAGTATTCCTTGCTCAACCAGGTTTCCGATCCCCACCTGCCTAGTGATACTTGGGTGTCAGCTGCGGCCCTGACCCACTGTGTCGCTCCGTCTCTGCTCCGGTTCTGCTCCCGTGCAACTCCGGCGTTACCGCAGCACTGCCCAGGTGCTGTTATGGTGCTGAAATGGCGACGGCCTGATGGCGCTGCAGCGACGGTCTGGTGCTGCTTGGTGCTGCTCCGGTGCTGTTCCGGCACTGCTCTGGTGTTGCGGTGCTGCCCCGGTGCTGCTCCAGTGTAACTCAGGCGTTCCTCTGGTGCTGTTCTGGTGCTGCTGCGGTGCTGATGTAGCCCTGCTCTGGTGCTGCTCTGGTTCTGCTCTGGTGGCAGTCCAATGTTGCTCCAGTTTTGCCCAGGTGCACCCCCGGTGCTATTCTATTACTGATTATACACTATTCTGGTGCTCCTCTGGTGCTACTCCGGTGCTACTCCGGTGTTGCCCCGGGGTGCTATCCATTGCGGTTCCGATACGAACCCAGCGTCGCCTCGTTGTCGCTGGTTAAGCCCTGGTTATTGTTGGCTTAAAGCCTCATTTGCCCCGTTCCGCCGTGGAGTCGTAGCATTTTGGTCTCGGAATTCTCCGGCATTACCTCCGTGCTGTCAAATAACCGCCACGCTGGACGTTCTTGACGGCTGCCAAACAACCACGCCCTTGACCTCCACAATAAACTTACCCAAAATACTGAAGCCAGACTGAGAGGTGAAATGGTACGTGCTTGTCCAGCGCTTCGTCCATGGCAACACTGCACCCGTGTCCGACAGAGATATATGGGGAGGGAATTCATCAAAAACTACCGTAGTGCATCACAATTTCCATAACACATGACATGCAGCTCTCAGCCAGCAGGACATGCTGGGACAAATTGGCTTTTAAGCTTGACTCCCGACATTTCATAACGTGGGCTAGCGCCCGTGAGCTCGGTGAGTCCACAGCTCGCTCCGGTCGGCCAGCTGGGATTAGTGCCCCTCGACCGCTTAAGGTCATCTCGCTTCCACACCGTCCGCGCCATCAGAGCTCGCGCTCCTACACCGCCGCTGGGAGCATTCCCAAATGTGGCTTCATTCCGTGCCAGCCCCAAGATGGGGTACGTGGCGAGCCAGCCAACGCGCCCCGCGGGTCATCTTTCGCCCGGGGTGGCTCGTGCTCTCACCCCGGCCGGCACATTACTGCCCGCGCCTCTGTCATTGGCACCAGAGCATGACGGCATCGGCATGTGCATTTTCGCACGCTGGGTAATCAGCCGGTTAGCCGAGACCGGTCAATAGGCCAGGCGGTAGACTGAACCAATGGTAGCGTCTCTCAGTCAGATGCTCATGAACATACGAACGCGCTGCACGTGACCCCCAGCAAGGGTCATGACCGTTTCCTGCCGGGGGATCCGTGAGGGCGAAAGGTCATGTCGTTTTCCCGTACGCTCAGTGCGTATTTTGACCAGGGAACTTCCTCCCAGGGAAAACCGCATGGGGGAAGTCACTTCTCGTCGCCGACAGTTGGCTTGGGCGCGTAGTGTCAACCGCGTGTTTGTGAATATCAGGCGAAATTCGCACAGGGTGTCAAACCAACGCCAGGGCTATCAAATCAATGCTGGGAGTTATCATATCAATGTCGGCGGTTATCGAATCAATGCCGGGTGGACTGGCTGATCGGCGCGAGGCCTTAACCCTAAAGACAGGACATCCAGGCATTGCATCAGATCGGTGGTTCTGAAGCGATCAGATCAGATCGCTTCAGAACCACAGATCGAATGATGTATCAGATCGGTGATTCTGAAGCGACTCTGCATGATGGTGAAAAAATTGCCTTGCCTCTCGTCATTTGCAGAAGTCGGATATTTGCGTCGAATATAGCGCAGGATGACTTGCTTACATTGGCCACTTGCCAGCATTTGGAGACTCCAATTAATTATCAGATCGGGGGAGCCCATCATTCATGGGTTATTGCATCATACCATGCTGATGTTCCTTCTGTCAGGCGCACTCGCACGAGCGGATGGAAATTCTGGCCGTTTTTTAAAGGTGGCAAGCTTGGGTAAATTTTAGTGTCTTATTGAACTTTATCGGTGTTGAGCACAGCCAATGCTAGCTGTGAGTACGGTTACTTTGGCCAGATGGAAGAACTTCACTTTTTACAGTCTTAGGGTATGCTCAGCAACAGCAACAGATGAATGCCGAAAGCCTGTGTCCGAACACGACTGAGCTGGTACGAAACTCATGGCTTCACTGCTTTCAGTTAAACAAATCCTGGAAAGTAATAAGAGAAAGCCGGAACAGCAAGAAGAAAAGCCATTTAACCAAAGCGCATCCCTCTCGGTTCGCCATGACAGGTCTCACAATCCTCGCATTCTCCATCTTTGCACCAGACAGAGCACAGCGGGTCGATGCCGCGTCCAACCAGGCTGCTGCAAGACTCCAACTAACCTCTCCAGGGCGATGGCCATCAAGGTGAGAACGCTGGCGGCCACCGTCAAGTTGGCCATGAAGTTGTTCAGCACGCAGTAACTGGCGCCGAACGGCCAGTTGGCGTTCAGCATGTACACGAAGTTGAAGGAGCAGTTGAGGCAGGACATCAAGAGGTTGGCGACGCTCAAGTTCACCAGGAAGTAGTTCGCCACAGTCCGCATCTGGCGATGTGCTGAAACAGCGGCAGAACAAATTGCTTCACGCCTAGTCCAGTTCTGCTTGGTTCTGTTCGGTTTGGTTTATTTCCCGGTTTTGATTCAGCGCGATTTGGTTCAGCTCGGTTTGTTTCAGTTTCATTTGATTCAGTTCGGTTTGGTTCAGTTTGGTTTGGTTCACCTCGGTGTGGTTTAGCTCGGTCTTGTTCAGCTCGATTTGGTTCAGCTTAGGTCAGTTCATGCAATTACATTCGGATTTGGTTCCGTCCAGATCAGCTTATGCAATTACAATCAATTCCACACCTGAGTGCCAAAGAGAAGATGATTATGATTATGATGGCCAATGCCGACAGGCAATGAACATATTTACAGACAGATGAATTGCATTTCTCAATCCGGGTAGGGTCTGCGACTGCTCATCTGGATTGAGCAATCAATTAGGGGTTTATGGATTTCTCCGTGCTTGTTTCAGGTGACGACTAAATTTTCATCTGGATTGACTATACTCTACGGTATACGGTCCATCCTCATTAGCAGTACCACGTGTGCCATCACACATCATGGGGCACCATCCGCTGCCATCGGGTACTATGGCGATAACTAGTGCCACCTCCGATGTTAGGGAAACCCTGGGCCAAGTGCCAAACGAATTGAAAGGAACATGCAGCCTCCTTGGAGCTGAAATGCAACGAGCTGGTGGCATACCTCTGACATGGCGTCGATCTCACGGCAGCGACCGGTGGCTTTTTACAAAGACATTTTTTGTTGTGAATAGCGGCTGTTTTCAAGGCTTTTTTCATGGCCGCCACTCAGGGATCGTCTGATCCGCCTCCTCATAGCAATTTCCACCAGAGGGCTTGATGAAAAACCCCACCTACCTCCAACAAGTTCTAGCGGCAGGAAGTGGTGCAAAGTACAAAGCTATACTTCTATTTCCTATTTCCTACCTATTTCTATCTATCTTCTTCTGTTTCCTACCTATTTTTGGTGAGGGGCTGACCTTAGTGGTGCGAAGTACAAACCTGCATGTATTTCTTGGTAGAAGCAGATTTCACTTTTGCCGGCCTTAGCACAAATAAGCTTCGTTTTTGGCTAAGGCTTAGAAGACATAAGCCTAGAATTAGGCTAAGATGGTGCAACATTCAATTTTCAAACGGACACAAACGGAGGACCATCAAATTCATTCACTGACCAAAAGACAGATCAAAATTACATCTGGTATTTATTCTTCATGTGTTAGAGTCATTTCAGCTACTCAAGGGAATGACGGCGAGAAAAAACCTGGTGGGACAGGAATGGACCACTCCAAGGAGAGACGAAGTTTCAGCTGCGCAAAGCAGCAAAGACCAGGCGAAACATCGCATCCAGTTTTCCAAGTCAGTCATCTGGAATAGTTTGGAACAGTGCCGGAGAATTCCCGCATGATTGCTGCACAGTTGCTTCGAGAGAGATATTTGAGCGCGAAGTCCTGCCGAGGCCATGCGATTTGACATTTGGCTCAACTCGTGTTCCGTTCAGCAAAGGTCAGGCGAACGGTTATTGGACAAGGATTGATGGTTTGCTCCCCGGCAGTGGCAGCAGGATAGGCGCTTTACCTAACATGAGCTAGCCCATGAGCCATCCTGCCAGGTGTTCAGATGACGCACTTATGCCCACATGTTCGCCGCACGGGCCTTCATGGCTTGTCAGGTGGGCTCATGTGGGCTAGATTTCTCGTGAAGGGAGCATACTGATCGCTCAGCTTGTTAAATGCCACAACTCTTTTAAATGCCAGGATTTCGATAAATAACAGAATGCCAGTAAATGCCAAAACACCGACAAATGCCAGAATACTCGTAAAAGGCACTCGTCTGGCATATCAAATGCCAGAATATTCGTAGTACAGGAAAAAGTGTATAAGTCCTGTATCGTAACTACCACAAACTTATCAGTTTTACCTTTTTAACACTTCACTAGCGTAGTTTTACGGAAAGATTGAAACGGAGCACCAGCACCACAGAAAAAAAGCTAAGTGATGCATAATTATTGCATCTTTGTAATGAGAAATTCGAATAACTGTTCGGACTATGGCCCTCGGTGTGACAGCTGAGAAAAGCGCGAACACAGCCGAGTGATAATGTCCTGAAGACGGCATGTTCACAAAGGCGATCACCCTTTATGTAAGGGGTCTACGTGCACGATATCCACGTTTCTGAGCTCGTTGGAGTCTCATTCACACGCATTGGAACCAACCCTAGCCGCGGCACAGCTTCGTTTTCTGACAAATGAACCCGAATCCAGCTCGAACGTCCTCCGCTTTCATCCATTCGTGACCGGTGATCCTCGATCAAGGGCCTTGCCACCGGAGATGGGACTGCAGAGGACCAGCAGGCTTCGCTGACCAGCCACCATCTTGATCACGGAGTTCGGCCTCAGCGGCTTCAGCGGCTTCAGCAGCACAATCAGTCGGAGGTGGCTACCCGCCCATGCCAGGTGCAGTCGACTACCTGTCCACACCAGGTGAAGTTCCCCAGGCAGAGGTGGCCAACTGTCCACAACAGGCGTAGGAGTTTGTCCACCCGTCCACTGTCCACCCGTCCACACCAAATAGAGGTAGCTACCTGTCCATACCAGGTGGAAGAGGCCACCTGTTCCACCAGGTGGAGGTGGCCCCCTGCAATGCGAGATTCGAAGCTGGCTGATACCCCAACGCTCAGCGGGAGAACATGCCAATAAGAGGTCAATCGATGGTGGGTGGCCCAGCCAGTTTGCAATAAGCAAGGGCAGACGCGACAAGTTTTGTGGCATTGCGTGCTGAATGCTTGCACTCGCTATTCTCGGCTTTTCGAGTGGCGCGCCACATTATGGCTGTTGCGGATGTCGGGCGTATATTGCATACTGATATGACCCGTAAAACATTTTGGAAACGCACTAATTAACTGTTCCAAGAACAAGAAATCTGCTACATGTTCTCCACGCTTGGATGGAGAACTGTGATGAAAACAGGAATTTCCCTTACTTTGATGCCTGGAATTCTTTGACGATGTTCGGGACACGACGAAGCGGGGCTATTTGGGTTACACTTTTGAAAGAGTAAGATCCCAGTTTGCCACCAGGGAGGGGAATACCCCTGGCCTCCACTGATCACGAACTGGGGTTATTTGGATCGTACCGTTGAAAGAGTAGGGTCGCAGTTGCACGGGGGGTGTGAGGAACACCCATGGCCTCCTCTGATCACGCTCCTCAGTTGGACGTATTCTCCCCGATTTTCATGTTTTCTCTGCTTCTCAAAGGACCGCAAAATAACATGGCGACATTTACGTCTCATTCCTGTTCGCGTACCCGCAGTTCATTCCAAGTGAATGAGATAACATCTGTTTAGAGCTAAAATTACATGAGGTACGACTCGCGAAGAAGATAACCAAATTGAAATCACGAACCTCGACGTTGCGGTCGGAACACGAAATTAAACAAAGAAGCCGTAAGTCCAAATGCTCATTTAATTTCGTCATGCGCACAGCTCGGCTTGCAGAAGCCGTGGCGATATCGGGCGGTGCCGGAACCGAGCTGCCAGGTATGCAAATGCCCTGCGTCACTCTGACAGCCGGATGCGAGCATGCTAAGGCGCTGACCTCCTCTTGACGCGCTCACACAGGGCGGCACGATCGCAGCACAGCGACCGGATCGCCGGTCGGCCGATCGCAAAGCGCGCGGGGTAAAGGTCGTCACGGGCCCTGAAAGTGGTAACGTCATCCCAATGCTCCACACAGCCACGCTTCAGCCCCAGTGACCATTGATTACACGGTGATTGGGTCACCTTTGTAGACGTAGGCCTAGATGGCCGTTCCGAGAGTTTCGAGAGCTAGATTTCCGTGCTCGTGTGTCGGAAGCAATCGCGGTGTTCAAGTGGTCTCAGTCCAGTATCTCCACAACCGGTGAGGGATGGTGCCAACACTATGCGCACGCCCCCGAGCCAAGTCTGGCTACCAACTGAACCACCTGTTGAACTCAGTGGATGTGCCAGGCAGCGCCCCAACCCCCCTCAAGGCTGAGAGAAAGCGCAGGACATGAAGGGAGTCAATGTACCTTCCGGTTTTGGGTGTAAAATGTCGGAAACCCTTTTAGAGATAGGAATCAGCGGAGTCGTATGCTTTTACCAAGCCTGATGTGTGTTTTTAGTTTCTACCGACAAGAATGTATGACCGTTGGCGAAGTTCAACGGCTTTGTGGCAGACGAACAACGCGGTACATGGTCGGAAATGTTAACATGCAAGGATGACGTTTTTCTTGACGACCTTGTGCCCACCGAGCGTGGCAAGGCTGTTTCTGGCTGGTTTAAAGTTCGAGGAGTGGCGGCTGAATAGTATTAGACAGCAAAATGGGTTTCCTTCTATCGGACATTTTTGATGGATACTTGATCAGGACGATCAGGACTTGCTAAGCGCAGACAACGAAGCGGTCATCAATTGTTCAAGTGGTCGTGGTCATCTTGGCATCCTGTGCCGGCGCCATGGTTATCCGTCGGCATGGGATACCAAGGAACCGTGCGGCAGGCGTGATGAGAGGTCGTAGGCGAATATTTCAAAGACAATAGGGCACAACAAAGATCCCTGAGTGACACCGTGAAGAAACAGAAGCTGAGAACCACTCTGGCGCTAAGTTAAGAGCCTCCTGACACTGTCCATCGAGGTAACTCCGGATGAGTGGCGGACCGCCGCCATGCCGCCGGAGCCCCGTTCCAAAGGCGCCGTGGTCGACGCCGTCAAACGCATTATCGATGTCGATGCAGGTGACAACAGCGACACGCTCCGTATTGACGCGACGCGTCAGCGCTCGATGGACTGAAACGGGCCTAGTTTACTAGCATATTTTAGAGGGCAAGCAACAGGGATGCGTTAGATTACTAGCAGTGTCACGAGATCCCGGCTTCTCAGCCTGAAGAACCAAAGCCACCTTTCAAGAGCAGGGGGAACAGGAGACCATTGAGGCGTTTGCTCATTTTGCGGGGCTAAGCAAACGAGCTCCTATGACAGCGAAGCATTGTTTCAGTGCGTTCGGTGGTAAGGCATCAAGCCCAACGACTTTTGAAGAGGATAGATCACTCATTGCCTTTAAAAACTTGGACGAAGCCGCCAGACGCCACGTAAAGCTGGGGTTTTGACGTGCGACGGTAGCCCCTCCCCCGAAGGGGGGCCTACCGGTGCTGCCCACCGCATGCTCTGCCATAAAATTTGCATCCGATCATGTTTTCTTGGTCGAGGAGATAGGTCTGAAAGTGCAGTTCGACCCTTGGCCATGTCCACAAAAAGACCAGGAGCAGAAGTGTCAGTTGTAAATAAAAGACAGCCGGCGCACAGTGCTATGCTAGAGGACCCGGCCTGTTAAGCGGTTAAGACACCCTGTGCCTAATACAAGCCATGGAACTATTAGATACTTTGAAAAAACATAGCTGCATAAAAGCCTGACATAGCGTATTGACAATTAGTGCAGCATGTAAAAAGATCCTTACGTCCTACGACCACTCTTTCTTCAGCAAACGACTAAATCACTGAATAGACCGATTGCCTATCAACAATAGCATAGCAACAGCCTACATATTTCTTCTTAGCTCGCTGTTTGTCAACTTGGTGATCTTCTAACACCCACCTGTTGCCCCTACCGCATGGCGCCAATGCATACTTTGCTCTCGTCCATCACTACGGATTTTTCGTAGCCGTTCGCCAATGCTGATGATCTGCGCTCAACATTTGCGTCCAATTTTGCGCCCGAGAATCCGCGGCCGTTGGAGAGCGCCGCCGGTGCGGGGTGTTGAGCCGCCCGTGCCCGGCACCTGCGCGCGCTAATTAGACGAGCCGAGATGAGGATCGTTAAGGCGAGGGGGAGAGCGCCAGCTGTGCTTACCCCCAGCACTTCCGGGACGGCGGCGAGATGGCCACCAGGGATTGCCCAACAAACCGTCGGGGGTTTTGCCCGGGGTGCGTGGGGTGGGTAGGGGAGGGGACGGTGCGTCCAGCCCACTTGAGGCTTCGGATTGATTGTCAGTGATACCCATGTGCTGTGCATATGTCCCATACCTATGTGCTATGCATAGCGTATGTGCCATGTGCTGGCAGTTGGAACCGGCGAACTCACTCAGATTCCGCCCGAGCTGCAGGGCTAGCCCACGTTACTCTACAACGGTGCTGAAAAAACTTAAAGCTCCCGTCACAAACAAGATAAACATATTTTGCCAAAACGGACACGCCTTGACCGAGCTGTTGAAGAACAGCAGAGACCGTCCTTGGACTGTCCAGTGTCTCGTGGGGTGCAACAGCATGGTGAAGGGCCGGCCGAGGAGATTTCATTCGCTTTGGCCGTTAGTTGCCCTTGGACATTTTGGTGAGATAATTATCTGGGCCTTCTCAGCTCGTGGGGAGGCATATTGACTGACCGCCGTGAGAAAGGGAGGACAGGAGGTTCAGGAGGGTTGGGGGGAGTGGGGTGAGAGGAGCGAAGTGTTGTGGATGTGCCGTGACCACGATTCATAACCAAATGTGCCTGTAAAAGTACGATGTCCGCACTAGGTCGTGTGGATTATGCACCGAAGTAAAAGGTGTAAAATCCGAAATCACACGTACCTGGATATTGTGACACCAAAGTGTTGTCGGGTCATGCCAAATTGATGTTCACGATACCAAAACAAGTAAAAATTACAAGATGAAATCACAAAAAAACGAGAATGTTGAAACATGCCAGTTATTTAGATGCCTCCTATGCCCGTGTGCACGAAGCGAACTGTGCAATAAACTGGAAAAGACAAAAGGGCTGGTTTTGCCAAATTGATGTTAACAATATCAAACCAGACGTCAGCGCTTTGAAAAGCGCTTTTCTGATGAAATGGAAAGAGCCGGGAGAGAATGGGAGGGTACGATCCGCTTCCTAACTCGTAAGAAATGAGCACGAAAAGCTGTCAGACAAAGCCTCTGAAAACAGAGTACCACCGACAGCTACCTACTAGCGAGCAGTGTCTTGAACATCACCAATGTCCTACCACCAACAGTGTCTTGTCTACAGCTACCACCACAGTGTCTACAGCGTCAACAGTGCCAACAACTGCTATCAACAGTGGTCCGGCGAACCGCTGGATTGATCATTTCCAGGTATGCATTATCATATCACTCTTATGATTTTATTTATTACATTACGTGTTTCCAGTTGATCATTATCTGGTTAGACTTCTTATATCTTAATTGCACTTTCTTTGATCATAGCAATGCATCGCCGATGGCCCCGATTTCATGATTACTTTTGCCGGTTCCTCCGAACCCATAGGCTTTACCTGCGGGGTACACTCGATTATCTGAAAACTGAGCTGCCATCATTTACGGAACCATTCAGGGCCTACAACATGTGACTAGAGCACATGCAACGAATGAACTGACGTGATGACGTACAGCGATCAAAATCAACGCTAATGCAATACGATATAGAAACATCCTTACCTCACCAAAATGTCCTGCCTCGACTCGCATTGTAGGGCGGATTATTTTTCCAAATAATCGGTCGGAAATGACTCTAAGATTTCCGTTCCGAGGACAAATACGTGGATAAAGGGGGGCTCTGCGATTAACGTGCCGACGATGTCTCCGGAGTAGGCTACGTGAGAACGTCTTATAGGTTACCACAACGATGACGACTCTCGAGCTGCCTCATCAAGGACTACTCTCATGCAACTTCAAAGACGTCGCTTCCAAAGATTGCTCACCAATAACAACTTCTAACAGACATGCCAAGGACGCCTTTCGCAATAATGAACTGAGCAAAATCCTACCTCACGGCACGTCTCTGGATTCAACTCACCGAGGATGATCCAGCAGACGATGATGTTGCCGCCGATAGCCACCAGCAGCATCAGAACGAAAGCCGTCATCCACACTGCCCACGGCAGCCAAGCCATCTCAAAAGGCCTCATATCACCGCCGCACGCCACGTCACCGTCCATGACGTCAGCGTCGTCTGCCGTGACGTCAGAGCAGTTGGTGACGTTCCCACAGCAGCCGGCTGCCGCCATCTTGGTTTGAGGATTTTTGATGGCGAGCGGAAGCCGCGCGAGGAATGTTGACGTAGGCGACGCTCGCCAAGCCAGGCGCGTGGAAGCTGCCCTGAAGCTCTAGGACGAGAGACTGCAAGTCCTGGTGGCTGTAGCTCCTGGTGGCTGTAGCTCCTGGTGGCTGTAGCTCCTGGTGGCTGATCGTGGCTGAGAACGTGCGTCCCGCCGCAGGTCGAAAGGTGCGAGGAGGCGTCGCGGCAGACTGAGCCTGGGAACGAGTGGGCAGCGGAGTCATCAGCGGATGAACTTGACGTTGTAGCGGAAAGAACGTCATGCTTAACGTTATGTTATGGTGACAGTGAGCGGTGTGACTACGTTTCCTGTCAGCAGGTCCGTAGCGGCAGTACTGATGCTACCCAAAGCTTCTGCAGTAGTCAGCCGTCAATGCTCACTTCAGCATTTGCCGTTTTTGACGCGCTGCAAAAGCCGAAGGATGAGTGCAACAATTGCAGGTGCTTAAGGTGTCGCTCTGTTTCGGATATCTGTACACACAAAAAAACTGATACAGATATTGCGTGGTGCTGCAAGAAACAACATGTCTCGACAGTTTTTATTTCTCAGCTGTCCTTCGATGGCCAGGAGCATGCATGTCTGCTAGGCCAGGTAATAGAATGGTGGAGATGATTTTCGCATAGTTTTGGCTTGGACGGGAGCCCTAGAGTAGGTGCGCTGTATCACCAAGGCGGCGAATCGCCCAAAGAGCAACCTTGAAGCACAGTGTGCCGAAACCTGTCAGGCATTAATGACAATTTTGGCATCCTTTGTTTCTTTGTTTGCATCAGGTAATGGCACTGCTGTGTGATGCACTGCTCGGACGATTATCGTAGGAGTGTAGACCCACCACTCGGCACCTACTCCCCGAAAGAGAGAAAGCAAGTGAATTCATCTGTCATCCGCACCAACAGACGAGACGAACACCATCACCCGATGTATGTCTGTCAATGCGTTAGGCCGCACTTCCGCTCCACTTATGCGCACCCACACATACATACGGTCGCGCATGCGCACATGACGCGAACCACTCCGTGATCCCGGCGGTTTTCGACGCGATAAGTCGTGCTTCAGTGCGCGACCAAGCCTAGCAGAGGGCGGTCGCACCAGGGCACGGGGGGGGGGAGTTATGCTGTGCAGCGGCTCAGTCATCTAAACGCTTCCCTCGCACCTTCGTGTGTGACCTTGGGACGAGCAGATCTTCATTCTGGCATGGGTGGCGGTCTCTGGTTTAAGAAAGCACCTAGAACTCACTGGCCAGCGTTTCCGGCTCACCGGAACGCAGCGTCTTGCGGAGAAGCGTCAACACGTGGAATTCGGCCAGATCTTTCGCAGAGAGCCAGCCGGGATTACACCTCTATACCAGAATCAACGTTATTTCGCGAGGAGGCGTAACCTGTATCGTTGTGGGTCGCCAAGAGGGCAGTTTAGTCGCACTTCAACTCTATACAAACAGCTAATAACCTCTACAGCGTACGCACGAGGTGGAAGGAACCCCGCGTCGCTCGCTTTGACGCCTGAGGCGTATTAGACCTTGTAAGGCTTCCACAGCCAAGTGGTAGCTGGCCGTTGGCGCATGTTCTTTAGCTGAGCCGCGTACCCCGCTGGGGAAATTGATGGGGCTGCGCCGGAATAAGCAGCGGCGGCGGCGCCAGTTCTGTCTCCATTTGGCGCGCTCGTCTGGAGGTGAGCGACCACTCAGAGCGGCGGTGCCAGGCCATTAGCGGGGGCCTCTGTCGGAAGGCACCTAGATTCCTACGAGCGGGATTGCGTCGGTGGGGTCGATGCATTCCACAAGGTGCCTCGATGTGCTGACGAGTCGAGCTTTTTCGAGCCGAGATTCGACATTTGATTCTATTCGAGATTCGAGCACCAAGATTCGTATCGAGGTCACGGTTCGGAGGGCTGGCTGACCAGATGTTGGCTTTTTAGTTTGCTTCTAAGTTGGGTGATGGGTGGAGTGATAAGTTGGTTCGTTCGTTGATTAATTGTTTGACCATTTATTTTCTTGGTTGGTTTGTCGGTTGGTTGGTTAGTCGGCTGGTTGTTCGGCCGTTAGGTTGACTGAATGGTTGGCTGGTTGATTGAATGGTTGGTTGGTTGGTTATTGACTGGCTGGTTGGTTACGTAGGTGAATGGTTGGTTGGTTGGTTGGGTGGTTAGTTGCTGTTTGCTTGGTTTAGTTGCAGATACCAATAACCCCTGCTTGCAAGGATTATCAGTTAATTCTCAGACCATTATCGTCAGCTGGATTACAATGTAGACCTCAATTCAGGAAGAATGATTGCAATCCTCAATGCAAGTTTTGCACAGTTTTGCAATGGTAACAAATCATGGTTAAAAGCAAACGTTGTTACAACTTAAATGCCCTCACTATAGATGATTATGGTTTGGACGAACGTAACCCAACTGATGGCTGGTGTCTACGCTTTTTTGTCACCCCAGGATAGCGTCTCGAAAATGTGCCTCTATGAGAACAATCTCCCAGCTTCTGAAACTTCCGTCGTTATCTTCTGGGATGGCGCTCTGATTACTTCAAATGGACTTTGAACATTGACCTCTCATTGACCTTGAGCTTGAACTTGACCTTGACCTTTATATTTATTTTGCGCATTGACCTTTCAGAGGCGAAGCACCGTCAGCTTGTTGTGTGATTTCGACCATGATCGTTCATTGGACACCAGAACTGGGGATAACCACTGAAGGCGCTGGAAGATATCCCCTGTGACGATGCGCCCTAGTAGCACTGGCCAGCTGCCCGGTATCCAATGAGCGTCTCAGTGGGCCAGAGAACGAGGTCACATGACACGATGCTGATGTCGATAACGACGGGATGAGCCTTATCAAAGATATTGGGTTCTGCGGACAAGTACACTGATGGCCTCGTGCCGATGAGAACAACCGGGCAAAGCTGAATAACACTATACGTATAGATACAGAAAGAGTGTGCATTTCTAAGGGTAGAGTAGAATCGAGCGTGGACGGTAAAATTTAGGATTACTTCAGTGTACTAAGCAAGCATATTTCCATTAAAACTGTTTATGACGTCACGTACAATCCTCACAAAATGAGCGCAATCCGAGCTCTGCAATTGTGACATTTCATTTTCACTTAACCAGGCGGGTTGTTTAGTGCTGCACATCGAAGCAAACCCATTCTTCGTCTAGCACCACAGACACGGTCCGCCGCCAAGAGCCGACCAAAAGGTTCTGCGCTCTCCCCGCCCCTCACGACTCCCTCGACCCGGGCCCGCCTTCTTAATGGTGATCCACTTCACTTGGAATTCGGCCGAAGAATTGTGCAAGATCGGCGAGATGGCATCTCACGCCCAGTGCCGAGCCAACCAAGTCTGTGGTCAGCAAGAGCAAACAATGCGAAGGCGGCAGAGCCACCTCGTGTGTTAGATGCAACCTCAGCCTTTCGACCTTGCGACCCCAGCCACAAAAAGTTAACAAGTTCCAGGACCGCGACCAGGGCGGACAAACGAGCCTCAGCGAGACAGACGCAGGGCTCAATGCCTACGGACAGAGCGCACGATCTCGCGTGCTCCACCGCTGGCCCGCGGCCCGACGGGTCAGCGTGCTGGGCTCCGGACGAGCGACCAGCTCCACCCAGCGCCGCGACCAGCGCGCTGCCCGCTCTCGCCACCCGCGGCGGGCGGCGGCCGGAGAACGTCGGCCCGGTCCGACGCACCGGAATTGGTCGCTAGAGCAGGGAGAGATCACTGGTGCAGGGAGAGGTCACGGACGCCGGGAGAGGTCACTGGCGCAGGGGGAGGTCACGGACGCCGGAAGAGATCACTGGCGCAGGGAGAGGTCACGGACGTCGAGAGAGGTCACCAGTGCAGGGAGAGGTCATTGACACGGAGAGAGGTCACTGGCGCAGGGAAAGGTCACGGACGCCGGGAGAGGTCACTAGTGCAGAGAGAGGTCACTGGCGCAGGGAAAGGTCACTGGCGCAGGGAAAGGTCACTGACGCGGAGAGAGGTCACTGGCGCAGGGAGAGGACACTGACGCGGAGAGAGGTCACTGACGCAGGGAGAGGTCACTGACGCGGAGAGAGGTCACTGACACAGGGAGAGGTCACTGGCGCAGGGAGAGGTCGCGGACGCCGGGAGAGGTCACTGGCGTAGGGAGAGGTCGCTGACGCGGAGAGAGATCACTGGTGCAGGGAGAGGTCATTGACGCGGAGAGAGGTGACTGGCGCAGGGATAGGTCACTGATGCGGAGAGAGGTCACTGACGCAGGGAGAGGTCGCCGGCGAAGGGAGAGGTCACGGACGCCGGGAGATGTCACGGACGCCGGGAGAGGTCACGGACGCCAGGAGAGGTCACGGACGCCGGGAGAGGTCACTGGTGCAGGGAGAGGTCGCTGTCGCGGAGAGAGGTCACTGGCACAGGGAGAGGTCACGGACGCCGGGAGAGGCCACTGGCGCAGGGAGAGGTCGCTGACGCGGAGAGAGGTCACGGACGCCGGGAGAGGTCACTGGCGCAGGGAGAGGTCACTGACGCGGAGAGAGGTCACGGACGCCGGGAGAGGTCACTGGCGCAGGGAGAGGTCACTGACGCGGAGAGAGGTCACGGATGCCGGGAGGGGTCACTGGCGCAGGGAGAGGTCACTGACGCGGAGAGAGGTCACTGGCGCAGGGAGAGGCCATTGGCGCAGGTGGCACACCTCAGGCACCGGAACAGCTCAACGATGACCAGGCGGGCTGCGATGACGCAGAGGTCATGTCGCTCTCGCAATGAACATGTCGGAGAGAAATCGAATTTGCTGCGGGGGCATGTCGGTCGAAAGTAAGGTGATACTTGGCATGTTAAACAAAGTACCGACAAGATGGCCGAAAATGAGGCACTG